TTTTGACTCTGAGATTTGGTGATTGCATTGATGATAGAAAAAAAAGAGTCTAGAAACAACCTAAATAGTTGAATCAATCCCAGTAAATAAATGTATTATACTATGTGTAAATTATATATGCATAAATAGTATTATGTACACAGTTTATATGTGTAAGTACATATATAAATACGTATAAGAATATATTAAATAAATATATCAATATTATACTAACATGTTAACAATCTAAATTGTAATAACAGTGCACAATAATATAAATATAAATTAATAATATGTTCTATATAAATAGTGCAATGCCATAAAATAAGAAATATCAAAAATAAACAAATATGAGAAGACTATGTCGACTAACAAAGCAGAACCAAAAGAACAATATTCACAGTTAATAGTAATTAAGTAAATGACAATACTTTGATGCTTTGATTGATTTGTCATTTTTATTTCAATTAGGGCAGCTCCTAAAAAATACAGATCAAAATCCATTTATATCTATGTGAATGTGATCCTAGAAATTCTTGAGTCTCTCTCTTTTCTAACTCATCTTCCATAGAGTTGCCAAATTAATATTCCTTTTTTCTTCAAATTTTCTTGATCTGTTTTATTCTTACATTACAAATATTACGAATTATATTATAAATATTCATAGATTACTCTCATTCCTTGAGCAATCTGTCCTACCAAAGGAAAACAACTAAAATTAAGCTAAACTAACAATACAATGACCTCAAACTGAAAGAGATGCAGCATTCCACATCATAGCAAGCATCTCACCTCTCTTTTAAAATTTTTTTAACAAACAGAAATTTATTTTCTCTTCTTCCCACATACCCTATCAATTAAAAAAATAGATAAAAGAAAAACAAATTCCTCGTACGTAGTCAAAACAAATTCCCTCATTGGCTGTTGCCGGGAGCGCCTGCATCCCCAGCTGTGGTCTGATGCCAGCAGAGTGTGAAGAAAGAAACACGGGCCAGGTGAGAGCAGTGAAGAACAAACTCTGTTCATTGATCTGAGGGCTCAGGCTTATACAGTACTGGATCAAGCAATAGTAACATTGTTATTCATGAAAAGTACAAATCTAATTAGGTGATTTCCTTACTTCCTTGTACCTTGTCTGTTACATTCTTTCCTGCATCCTGTCCTGTACCCCATCCATTTCCTCCCTTCCTGCATCCTGTTCTCAAGAGACAGAACAGGGGGATGGTGAGCCAACATCCTGAGTTTCACAGCTGTCAGGCTTAGTACAAGCTGCAGGTAAGACCCGGGCTGGCCTAAGCCCTCCAACTCCCCAAAGCCAGCCCTCTACAGGCTGTATACAAAATTATAGGTCTCATTTGCATCCTAAATCCTTCATCTCTCTGTAAGGAGGTGGATAGCATGCTACATCATTGGTCCTCTGGAATCATAGATGGTTATGCACCTTTTTCCTATTTCTTTATCTTTTTTTTTTTATCATAAATCTAATAGTGGTGAAACTGGCTAAAGCGGAAAGCAATGTTTAGCAATTTTGTGTGTGTATAATTCCAAATTGCTCTCCAGAATGGTTGTACCCATTCATGGGTCCACTTAATAGTGTACCAATATGGCTGTTTTCCTATAGCCTTTCCAAAATTTATCATTTTCCTTTTATTGTCATCTTTTCAATCTGATGGATCTTAGAATTGTTCTAATTTTCATTTTTTTAATTAGTAGTGATTTAGAGCATTAGAAAAAATAAATGGCTGCAGATAGCCTAGGTTTCTTCCCTTGATAATTGCCTATTCATATCCTCAGACCCTTTATCATTTGAGAAAAGGCTCTTATTCTTATGTGTTTGAATCAGTTTCTTATATATCTTGGAAGTGAGAGACATTTATCAGAGGAACTTGCAGCAATGATTTTTCCTGAAAAATTGTTTTCTTTCTAATCTACTTTATTGAGTTTTTTGTGCAAAAACTTTTTAATTTTATGTAATCAAAATTAATCCATTTAATCTTCTCTGATATTCTGCATCACTCACTTTTTTGTGAACTTTTCTTCTATTCCTAGATGTGATAATTTTTTCTTTGTCTTTCTAATTTATCATGTGACCTTTTATACTTGGGTCACATATCCATTTGGAGTTTATCTTAGCGTATGGTGTAAAGTGTTGGTCTAAATCTAATTTCTTTAATATTGTTGACCAAATCTCTCAGCAGTTTTTTTTCAAATATTGAATCTTTGTCCTAGTAGCTAGGGTCTTTGTGTTTACTGAATACTAGGACATGAGTATCATTTGCTTTGGTATTTATGTAGAAAATCTGTTCCCCTGATCAACCTCTGTGTTTTTCTTAACCCGTACCTAATTATTTTAATAATTATTGCTTTGCAATATGGTTTGAGATCTGGCACTGACAGGTTCCTTTTCTTTTCACTTCCTTTGATTGTTTCCCTTGAGATTCTTGACATTTTTGGGTTTCCATATAAATTCTATGTTTTTTTTTTAGTTCTATAAAGTAATCCTTCAGTGGTTTGATTGCTATGGCACTGAATAAATAAATTTATTTAGGTAGTGTTGTCATTCTTATCATATTAACTCATCCTACTCATGAGCAATTAATATTTTTCCAATTATTTAAGTATGTCTTTATTTCTGTAAAGAGTGGCTTGTTGTTACATTTATATGGTTCTCATGTGTATCTTGACAGGAAGACTTCCAAATTTTTTATACATTCTGTAGTTATTGTAAATAGGATTTCTCTCTTAGTCTCTTCCTGCTAAGTTTTATTGGTATTATATAGAAATGCTCATGATTTGTGTAACTTTATTTTATATCCTGCAAGTTTTCTGTGTAGGCAGCTAAGTGGTTCAGTGAATAGAGCACTGGGCCTAGAGGCAGGAAGACCTGAGTTCAAATCTGGACTCAGACACTTCCTAACTTGGTGACCCTAGGCAAGTCACTTAACCCTCAACTGTAAAATGAACTAGAGAAAGAAATGGCAAACCATTCCAGTATCTCTGCCAAAAACCCCCCAAAATGAGGTCACAAAGAGTCTGACAGGATTGAAAATGACTGAACAACAGCAATTTTGCAACAGTTATTGTTTCAATTAATTTTAGTTGATTCTTTAAAGTTCTTTAAGTATATAATCATTATACAATGATTAAATATAATCATAAAATTTATTTATTCCTTCAATTTCTCTTTCTTTCAATTCCCCTCAATTTCTTTTTTATTACTATAGTCAGAATTTCTAGATCTCATATCAAATAGAAGTGGCAAGAATGGAAATCCTTGTTTTGTTCTTGATTTTATTGAAAACTATTCTAGTTTATCTCCAATATGTATAATGGTAGCTATTTATTTTAGACACATACTCTTTATCATTTTAAGAAAAGGACCATTTATTCTTCTGTTTTCTAGTGTTTTAAACATAAATGGGTGTTGCACTTTGTCAAAAGCTTTTTTTCTTCATTTGTTGACATAATCCTATGATTTTGTTGATTTTGTTATGTATATGGCTGTTTATAATTTTCCTAATTTCAAAAGTGAAATTTTTAAAGCACAGGTCTGACCTCATTGCTCTTCTGCTGTAAAAAAAAAAAATTCTCCATTGGTTTCCTATTATATGTAGAATAAAATATAAACTCCTTTGTTTAATTTTTGCAGCCCTTCAAAATTTGGGCCCAAATCTTTCCAGGATGTCACACTTTAACCTCCTTCACAGACACTTCATTTTAGACAAACTGAACTGCCTGTTGCTCCTCATACAGCACTGATCATTTTCTCTCCCATTTGATGTCAGATATCTTGCCCAGAATGCATTCCCCACTCCCTCTTCAACTCTGCCTTGCAGAATCCCTAGCTTCCTTTCAAGGTCATCTCAGTGCTACCTCCAACAGAAGTGTCTTCCTGAGTTCTACCCTCTCTCCACTTGCTAGCACACCCTTGAAATCACTTTGTATTCACTTTATACTATCTATGTATACGTTTCCTTCTCCCAATAGAACAGAGGCGCTTTGAGGGCTGGAGCTATTTCCATTTAGTCATGTTTTTCAAGTGCCTAGCATATTGCCTGACCCTTACTAGACATTTACTAAATGCTTACTGAATGAATCAAGGAATCATGCACTGGGATCTAGCTGCTGTGCTGCTGTGAGTTTTAAAGCCCTCTTAATAGTGGGTAGAGGCTAATGGACCAAACAGGTTTCTGGTACTTTTCCCTATATGACTAGTTGGTCTGTCTTTTCTTTTCTTTTCTTTTCTTTTCTTTTCTTTTCTTTTCTTTTCTTTTCTTTTCTTTTCTTTCTTTTCTTTCTTTTCTTTTCTTTTCTTTTTGTCAAATCTCACCCTGATGACATCTTTTATGCTATTTCTCCTGCATAAAGCTTATTTGATGGTGGGTTGTAACCTCATGTGCCCATTTCCTGCTCCTGGAGGAACCCTCAACTCAAATTCTTCAGAGAATGTAGTATTCTATGACCATTCTATTCAGCAGTACCAGAAGAACACCTATGTTAAAAAAGATAAGCCTTTGTTTCAGAGAGAGGCTTGGAATTGTATTCTTGAAAGCATTGAAAAATTTCCCAAGAGTAATGTAGGGCACTTTAAAAAACATAACAAAAGCAATGAAACTTAAAAAAAAGTACTAGCAAATTCAGAAGGGAACAAGGAAACAAATCAGATGAAACTTGATAAGTTTGAAATGGCTTCATTAAAGTTTGTAGATGCATTTCAAACTTTTCTTAAATTGTGGAAGTTTATTATTTTGCTACTTGTTTTCTCTTTGTGCATATGGATTTCTGTGGTTGTAGATAGTCACTGTTTTTGCAATTATGATTTTGGTTTTTTAAAGATGTGATGTAAGGAAGGTTGCCAAACAGGAACACTGCTTTGAAATCTTTCATATTCTGTTTACTGGAAACAGCCTATTTCCCAGATTCTCAAAATTGAAATCCAGAATTAATTAACTAACAGAACTTAAATGGGTATTCTGAAATTGGCCAATGTACTGAGGTATTTGTTATTGTTTCACATGCAGAAGGAACTTTCCGATTACTACATGCCCTGGATGGAAATAGCCTACAATTTGCCTGTCATGATTGAGAGTCATCAGCTCCGAGTCAGAGTGGATGTGGTAACTTTCACTTTTGATCTTTCTATTTCTATTCTCTCCTGTCTCTACCTCTGCCTATCTTTCTCCTTCACCTTTCTGCCTCTCATCCATGTTTCTCTTTTTCTTCCCCCCTACCCCATCTTTCCCTTTCTTCTCCCCTTCTCCTTACTCTGCTTCTCTCTTTTCTCTCTTCGTTCTCTGCATTCAGTCCTTAAGCACATACTGGGTCAATAGAGAGTCTCCATAGTATGTGTGTGGGTGTGTATACATGGGTATACACATGGGCAAGGGGAGGAAGAGTGGTCCAGTCTGCACTATTCTATTTCACTGCAGGCAAGAAGGGGCCCTCTGTCTCCAAATACCTCCTTTACAATAAACTTTCAGTTCAACAAACATTTACCAAGTACCATCTCTATGTAAGACTCTGTGCTAGTCACAGGAGGAAACACAAAGATGAAAAACAAGGTACCATATTGTTTTTCTCAGAGGAGAAAAGACACATATACAAATTACTGTGACCCCAGATAGCATGATAAGGGCAAAAATGAATATCCAGATAAAGTACTAGAGAAAAAGATAAGGTGGGTGAAACCCAATGTTGTGGTAGTAAATATTTAGCAACCAGCTCTTGGGTAGGGTGTGTATGTGGAAAAATGTAGACTAGTGACACACTTTAAATTTAATATGCATTATTAACATTTTCTTCATCACTATCTTAAGTCTATATAATCAACAAAACAATAAATCAATGCCTGATTTGTAGCATTTTCCAATTTCCAAGGCATAAATACTCACAATGAAAATTTTACCATCAAATCTTGAGTACCTTAATGAGCCAGCTTCAGGTTAGCACTGGGATCATTTCCACCTGGGGAATTCCACCTCTGACACCAACTAAGGTGCGGGAACCTGTAACAAATAACTTCTCTGAGCCTTCCTTTCCTTATCTATTAAAATGAAGGTGTTTGATTCAGTGGGCTTCAAGGTCCCTTATGGCTCTGAATATATGATCCTATGGTCCTATGAATTATGGATCCCTTTAAGGAGAATTTAAAAGGAATTAAAGGATTTCAATAAGGGGGCAGTGTTCCCACATGTAGGACATAGCCTACAAAAAATCCCAGAGATAGGAGGGAGAATAGTAATATAGTCTGGCTATAATCTAGTGTGTGTGTATGGAACAGGTGGAGTATAAAGGAGACTAGAGAGATATTGGTCCTGAAAAGGTAGGTTTAGTCAGATTATGGAATGCTAGGTTGAGGAACTTGTATTTTTTTCCTAGAGGTAATAATAGGGCTTCATTGAAAGGTTTTGAGTGAAGGAATTAGAAGGTCAGATCTATGCCTCAGAAAGATTAACTTTGCAATTGTGTGGAGAATATATCAGAAAATAGGCAGAGGCTGCCTATTAAGAGTCTATTAAAATAATCCAGTTGCTCAATGTTAAGAGAGGCTGACTGAAGGTGGTAGCTAGGTGAGGACAGAGAAGAGGATGGATGCTAAGACATTGTGGAGGTAAAAGAAGGAGACCTTAACAATTGATTGGAGATGAGAGTGAGGAAGCAGGAAGATTAAAGGTTGTTCCAGAGGCTTTGAGAGTGAACGACAGAGATGCTGATTATGCCATCAGCAGAAGTAGGGAAACTAGCAGGAGGAGCAGGTTTGGGAGAGCAGATAAAGGGTTCAATTTTGTACATCTAGAGTTTGACATGCCTATGGAACATCCTGGTGGAGATATCCAGAATGTAGTTGGAAATATTAAACTAATGTTCAGGAGAGAGATTAAGGTAGAGCTATATAACTATAGGAATCATCTTCATAGAGATCATAGGGAACATATAGGCTTACAAAGGGAGAAAATAAAAATAAAGGAGAGAAGAAGTAGCTGTTGTTGTTCAGTGATTTCTGACTCTTTGTGACTCCATTTGGGGTTTTCTTGGCAAAGATACTAGAGCAGTTTGCTATTTCATTCTCCAGCATATTTTACAAATGAGGAAACTGAGTCAAACAAAGTTAAATGACTTGTCCACACAGTTAGTAAGCATTTGAGTTTAATTTGAACTCACGTTTTTCTAACTCCAGGCCCAGCACTCTAACCGCTGTACCACCTACCTGCCCAAGAAGGTATCTACGTGGTTTTTATTAACTGGGCTAAATGAGGTTGAGAGTAACTGACAAGCTTCAAACCTGTTGGTGAGTTAGAGGGCTGTCTATATGATGGATGAGAACAATTTGTTCCAACAGCCTGAAGCAGGTGGCTGAAGCAGGCACCGTGGAGTGCTTAGAGCTTGGGAGACATTGAAGATGCCAAGGTTATCCACTGCATCCTGGCCATCACCGGTCATCTTGACTCATCTTGCCACTGGAATTTGATGACTCTGGAAGACAGAGTGAGGCTGACAACTTTGCACAACTCTGCCTCACTTAAATTCAATTCATGCACAAGTCAAGATATAACCCCATGATGTCATTGGTCCTCTCCAAAAATGAAGCATGAACAACAACAGTGTGAGAGTATGTGTGTGGGGAAGCTATACAATGGTGGAGTTTATTTGATTTTCCTCAAGAAATTTTGACATCAGTGGAGCCAAGATGGTGGAGTGAAAGCAGTGACTTGCTTGAGCTCTCCCCCAAATGCCTCCTGTAAAAAAATGGCTCAAAACAAATTCTAGAGCAGCAGAACCCACAAAAAGACAGAGTGAAACAAATTTCCAGCCCAAGACAACCTGGATGGTTGATTGGAAAAGTCTATCACACTGGGCTGGGAGAGAAATGCAGTTCAGCATGGGCACATAGGCAAAGACCAGGCCTTGGTGAACCTGATGCAGGCCTTAGGGGACTAAATCACAGGCAGCTATGGTGGTTTCCAGACTTCTCAACTCACAAATGCCAAAGGCAACTTAGAAGGCCATTAGGAAAGGTCTGTGACCATGGTGAAAGAGAAGCTCAGTCCCAGCCTCAGTCCCAGTGCAGCCCCGGGGTGGTGATTGTTTCTGGAGCTCTTGGCTCACAGACAGAAGGGGAATCGAGTGACTGATCAGAAGGAGATTGCAGGGATCTCTTTGCTGGTGCTGAGGCAGGATTCTCTTGCTTTGCCTGTATTTGGATCTGGGTCACAGTTCTGGGGGGCAGTCCTAGGGCAAAGAGGAGTACTGCTGTGGTGGAGCTTGTAGTGGTGGTGTAGATTGAATCCTTCTCACAGTAGAAAATAGTGCTTGTGGTCAGTCATAGACCAGAGCACAGGCCAGGAAAGGAGTAAACACCTCACCCTTGATCACACCACCGAATAACTGAAAATTTATAGGTCCCTACAAGTATCTCTGAAAACAGCTGCACAAAACCTCTGAAACCTGGGACAGTACATTCTTCACACTGGAAGCAGACCCCTACCTTAACAAAGAGTTTAAAAGTCAAGTAATTGGCTGGGAACATGAGCAAACTGCACAAAAAATCAGACCATAGAAGCTTACTTTGGTGACCCAAGAAGATGAAAACATATAAGCAGAAGAAGATAATAAAGCCAAAGCTCCTACATCCAAAGCCTTCAAGAAAAATATGAATCAGTCCCAGGCCATGGAAGAGCTCAAAAAGGATTTTGAGAAGCAAGTAAGAGAAGTGAAGGAAAAACTGGGAAGAGAAATGAGAGTGATGCAAGAAAATCATGAAAAACAAGTGAACAACTTGCTAAAGGAGACCCCCCAAAAATAGTGAAGAAAATAACACCTTAAAAAATAGTTTAACCCAAATGGCAAAAGAGGTCCAAAAAGTCAATGAGAAGAAGAATGCCTTAAAAAGCAGAACTGGCCAAGTGGAAAAGGAAATCCAAAAGCTCACTGAAGAAAATGCTTCCTTAAAAATTAGAATGGAGCAAATGGAAGCTAGTGACTTTATGAGAAAACAAGACATTGTAAAACAAAACTAAAAGAATGAAAAGAAAAATAGAAGAAAATGTGAAATATCTCATTGGAAAAACAATTGACCTGGAAAATAGATGCAGGAGAGATCACTTAAAAATTATTGTACTACCTGAAAGCCATGATCAAAAAAAGAGCCTAGACATCATCTTTCAAGAAATCATCAAGGAAAACTGCCCTGATATTCTAGAACCAGAAGGTAAAATAGAAATTGAAAGAATCCACTGACCACCTTCTGAAAGAGATCTCCAAAGGAAAACTCCTAGGAATATTATAGCCAAATTCCAGAATTCCCAGGTCAAGGAGAAAATATTGCAAGCAGCCAGAAAGAAAAAATTCAAGTATTGTGGAAACACAATCAGGATAACACAACATTTAGCAGCTTCTACATTAAGGGACTACAGGGCTTGGAATGTAATATTCCAGAGGTCAAAGGAGATAGGTTTACAGCCAAGAATCACCTACCCAACAAAACTGAGCATAATCCTTCCCAGGGAAAAAATGGATATTCAGTGAAATAGAGGACTTTTAAGCTGAATAGAAAATTCTACTTTCAAACACAAGACTCAAGAGAAGCATGAAAAGGTAAACAGGAAAGAGAAATCATAAAGGACTTATTAAAGTTAAACTGTTTACATTCCTATATAGAAAGATGATATTTGCAACTCATGAGATCTTTGTCAGTAGTAGGGTAATTGGAGGGGAAAATATATGTATATATAGATAGATAAATAGATAGAAGGCACAGGGTAAGTTGAAGATGCAGAGGTGATATCTGAAGAATAAAATTAAGGGGTGAGAGATGATTATATTGGGAGAAGGAGAAAGGTAGAGGTAGAATGGGGTAAATTATCTCACATAAAACAGACAAGAAAAAGCTTTTATAGTGGAGGGGATGCGGGGGAAGGTGAGAGAGAATGAGCAAATCTTATTCTCTTTGGGTTTGGCTTAAGGAGGGAATAACATACATACTCAATTGGGTATGGAAATCTATCTTCCCCTACAGGAAAATAGAGGGGAAGGGGGTGAGAGAGCAAAGGCAGGGGAGATGATAGAGGGGAGGGCAGACTGGGGGAGGAGGTAATCTGGAGCAAATACTTCTGAGGAGAGACACGGTCAAAAGAGAGAATAGAATAAATGGGTGAGGCAGGATAGGATGAAGGGAAATAGAGTTAGTTTTTCACAACATGACTACTGTGGAAGTGTTTTTCATGACTACACATGTATAACCTGTACCAAGTTGCTTGCCTTCTCAGTGAGGGTGGATGGGGAGGGAGGAATGGAGAAAATTTGGAACCCAAAGTTTTAAAAACAAAAGTTAAAAATTGTTTTCACATGCAACTGGGAAATAAGATATATAAGCAATGGGGTATAGAAATCTATCCTGCCCTATAGGAAAAAAAAAGGGGAAGGGGATTAGAGAAGGGGGAGGAGATAGAAGGGAGGGCAGATTGGGGGAAGGGGTATTCAGAATACATGCCATCTTGGGTTTGGTGGAGGAACATGATGAAGAGAAAATTTGGAACCCAAAATCTTGTGGAAGTGAATGTTGAAAACTAAAAATAAATAAATTAATAAAACTAACAACAAAAAAAGAAAATTTATCATCACCAGCCTATTCTGCCTGTACCACCTGGGGCTACCCATGGCTGTAAGATCAGGGAGTAGGGGATGGAGTAGGTGAACACAGTATTTTTCAGTTTCTCAGCAACAAGCCAGACTTTTTTTTTTTCTCCTTTCCTGTCCCATATTCCTCTCTCTTCCTGAACTCTTTCCTCTCTTACCATCTTTCCTCTCTGCTTTTATCAACACCACCCCAACCTTACTTCATTCTTTTCCTCCCTTTTCTTTTCCCGGTTCCTCTCTTACCTCGATCATTTTTCTTGGACAGATGCCCCTACTAAGCTGTCACCTCCTGAAAGGTCATAAAGAGCAATACTTGGCCCACTTGCTGCTTAGCTCCATTACCATGGGATATGTCTGGCAAGAAGGAGAGAACAACATTCCTAAGGTAAGAGGTAGGAAACTTGGACTCTCTTCTTGAAGATGACCGTAAGTGGGCCTTAAGCCCACAAGACAGATTCCATGTCACCATTATTCTTTCTCAGTTTCCTATGGTGATGCTACCATCACCCAATGGGAAGAATGAGATGGTCAGGGTTCCAAGTGCCACTTATTGGAGTTACCAAATCAGGCTCATTCACCCTATTTTTTGGCATCCAGAAGGAAGAATGATTCAAAGTAACCCTCAATAATTGTTAAGAGCAGGCCTTTTTTCAAAGCACTTTTACACGTATTGTCTCATATGCGATCCTCAAAATCTCAATTGGAAGGTAGAGCTTATGTTAACTCCATTTCACAGATGAGGCAGCTGATATCCTAAGAGATTAAATGACTTGATCAAGGTCACACAATTAGTAACTGTTATTAGAATCCAGACTTCATGAATCTTGATCTGGTGATCTTACTAGTACAATAACATAGCACACAAAATCAATAATGATGATGATGGTGGTGGTGTTAACTAGCACTGATAATGCTTTAAGGTTTGCAAATCACTTTACAAGTATTATCTCATTTTAATCCTCACAATAATACTGGAAGGTAAATACTATATGATTAGCCTCATTTTTATAGATGAGGAAACCGAGATGAACAGAGGTTAAGTAATTTGCCCGGAGTTAAAAAAAAAAACAAGTAAATGTTTGAGGCCACATTTGAACTTAGGTCTTCCTCTTTATTCATTGTGGTACCTAGCTTCCTGCCTGCCCTCACTATCCTCTTAATTAGCCAATATGCAATACAGTTGTTCCTGTATTTAGTCTATCCTTCATCCAACGGCAAAGATAATCTTCTTAAGGACCATGTTGTGCCTTGCTTAGGGATATTCAGTGATTCCTTCCTTATTGCTTCTTGCATAACATATGCATTCCTCAGCCTGACAATCCAGTTTTTCCACAATCTGACTTAAACCCACTATTGTCCAAGTTGATGATCAAGAGGACCTGAACTAGTATGGGATGTGTGTGTGTGCGCGTGTGTGTGTGTATGTCTGTGTTTGTGTTTGTGTATCTCTGTGTGTGTGTGAAAGAGAGACAGATAGATAGACAGAGACAGAGAGGGACAGAGACACAGAGACAGAAAGAGAGAGACACAGAGAGAGACAATTCTTTTTACCTCTTGTTCCCAATTATGCCATTTAGGACCTAAAGGGGTAGATTTAATTCTAACCTCGACTGCACTCAGCTGCCACTGGGGGCCCCTATGATAAGCCCAAAGTCCCACAGGATTTCCAAACTGTACATCTGCCTATATCTGTGTCTAACAGGTTCTGCCAAGAAATCTGGCCCTTCCCCTTGTGGAAGTCTCTCGAACCTTGGGTCTGCCCCCTATCCTGGTACACTCTGATTTAGTTCTGGCGAACTGGAAGAAAAAGGATCCAGATGGGTAAGTCTGGTAGTGAATATCCCTGGGATGGAAAGATATGAAATCCAGTTAGACATGGGAAATGTGGATATAAAGCCTTGCAAAACATTGAACTATTCAGCAAAGAAGGTACCTTGGGAATGATCTGGATGCCTGGTAATGTGGATGTGAGACAGAGAGCAAGAAAGAGAGCTATAGTAAAAACAAAAGAGAAAAATGATTATGAGCCTTCAGGTACTCATTGTACTAACAGATGTATGATTTTATGAACTAAAGACTGGCAGAAGATCTTCGTGTTCTTTGTCCTCTACCGTCTTGGCGTAAGGTATTGTTCTGGGGGCATGATAAGTTCATTTTAGTTCCCCAGGAATCCTAGTTGCTAGATAAGTTCTTTATTCAGATGTGCGGACAAGACTCCCTGGGAACCCCAGTAGCCACCTTTGTTCATGGTGTTCCCTATATCCATATTTGGATATTTGGTATTTGGAGCGACAAGTCCAGAAGCCAATCTCCCAGCCCTTGTACTGATCCTGGAAAATAGGGTCCTAGAGTAACTGGTTCTTCTCTCCATCTTTTTCTCTCCAGTTACATGCTGCTCCCTTTATCCTTGTGATCCAGAGTTATCATTTGTTCAAGCCTGGGTCCCTCCACAATCCATATTCCCTTTGCCTTCCTCTTCCTTTATACCCGCTGGAGCCTCACTCTTAGTAAAGTTCCCTTCGTTGGGGGTCTTTTCATCTCATGCTCAGAAGATTTTTATCTTCTGGTATGCATAGAAAGCAGACATTCTCTAGAAGACAATATTTCCTCCATCACCATCTCGAGCGTGGGTTGTTCCTTTCATGTGCTGTACAGCTCTGGGTCAGGAAGGGCTTGGTCTACTGCTTACTCCCTAATTACACCTCCAGACCCTCCTTCTACTACCATCAAATGAGATAATATTTGTAAAGTGCTTAGTACAGTGCGTGGCAAATAGTAGGCACTTAATAAGTGTTTGTTCCCTTTCCAAACCCCTTTTACCCAGTACTCTGAAACTTCTCCTTTGGGCTTCTTCTATTTCTCTAGTTTACCCTTGTTCTTATTACCTTTAGGTCACTCTTTTTTCCTTTCCATGGAGTTCAGTATCTGACTCATAGGCTTTCTCTCCACTCCTATCCCTACCTTTATGCCTGTAGGCATATGTATACATATACACACACACACACACACACACACACACACACACACACACACACATACATATATATACATATGCACATATATGTATGTGTGTGTATGTATATATGTGTATATGTATATATGTGTTTATGTATATTTGTGTTTATGTATATGTATATATTCTTATGGATATTCTGTTCTCCAAGTTTATCTAATTCAACTCTGAAGAATTCTATTTTTTCTCTTCCTTTGCTACTCACAGATTGGCTGTTCCTTAAATCTCACTGGGCAAGCAAGCCAGGAAGGAAACCAGCTCTTATTCAGTGTCTTATTACATGCTAGGCGAAAGCTGAAACCTGGAAAAGACCTCAGCTTAAAAATGCCGAGGTTTCCCCACTGCGTCTTTGGCCATCTCCTGTTGTCCTGACCTATGTCTTGCCATAAGACTCCAATAACTCTGGAGGAGAGATCAAGGCTGATGACTTTGCACAGCCCTGCCTCACTCAAATCCAATTCACTTGCAAGTCAAGACATCACCATCCTGATGCCACTGGTCCTCTGAGAATGAAGGGCAAACAACAACAATATGCCAGACATCATGGCAGGCCTCAGGGATACAGAGACAAAAGTGAAAGAGCCCCTTTCTTTAGTGCATATTAGTGCACTAAATGATGTGGGGCATCTGGGGGTATAATAAGTTCATTTCAGTCCTCCAGGAATCCTAGCTGCTAGATGATTTCTTTATCCATATGTATGGACAAGACTCCCTGGGGACCCCCAAGAAATATGATGAATATTAAATAATAATATATTATGAATCTCATGAAGTGGTGGCCCTATTCGAATTTATACCCCATGTTTCCATTTGGCTGAAGCCAATCATATTTAACAGAATCATGACTTTGAATGATGCAAATTCCAATTTATGGGACTACTTCCTGTGATTCATTGCTTGCATTAACCATGATGACCTAGTCTATATATCAAACTCATGAAAAGAAAGATGCAAACCACATGTAATTGGGAGGAAGGGAAGGCATTAGCAGATGCAGGGACCTGGAAAGGCCTCCTGGAGAAGGAAGTACTTGAGCTCACTTCCAAAGGGAAACCCTGTGTTCTGGGAGGTGAGGAGGGACATTGCCTGTAACCATAGCCCCTCCATGGGCTTGTGATCTGAGTCCCCTTTCTGATCCCAATCCTTTCCTTTCATCTTTCTCTATGTTTTACTCCTCCTAAACCTATTCTTTGTCCATACTGTGACCTCCAGTACCTCCAACCGTCTCTCTTCTCCCAGCTCAGTCCATGATTCTGGACTCGCTTTCCTTTCTTAAATCATGACCCTTTTGTTCTCTACTTAAATGGCATATGATACACCTTTTAAGCTCCTGCTCCTAGTCCTATTGCCAATTCTTCTTGCCCCTGATCTCCACTCACTCCCAAACCCCCTTTTAAGGCAAGATGGGATAGAGAGATAGCCTCAGAGTCAGGAAGACCTGTTTTCAAATCCCCTTTCTGATATACACTGCCTGTGTGACCCTGAGCAAGTCACTTGACTTCTCAAGCCCTCACACAGCTTTCTGAGAGTGTAAGACAAAAGCAGAGTAGATGACAAGCTATATTGGCAGAGGGGATTTCGCCACCAGAAGTTCTCTAAATAAATGAAGTCACAGATTGAGCCCCACAAAAATAATGCACACTCACATCACTCTCACCAACTGAGGGCATTAGTGGAGTTGGTCTGTCTCTAGACTTCTAGCTAGGTAATCTGTAGACTGAGAATGATTGACTTAAGTCAGTGGAATCATTCCCCAAGAGAATTATGACACTCATTTAGGGAGTTTATCCATTCCCGTAAACCTGGGGTGGGGAACTGGTGGTCTTGAGGCCACATATGTCCCTCTAGGGCCTCAAGTGCAGCCCTTTGACTGAATTTGATTCATTTGTTCTATGAAGTTTGGATTCAGTTAAAGGTCCCCACTTAAGGACCTAGAGGACCACATGTGGCCTCAAGGACACAGGTTCCCCATCCCTACCCTAGACTTTAAATTCAGAACCTAGAGGTGCCCTAGGGCAAGGCTAAAAAGCTAGATGCTTTTTGCAAATGTGCATTTTGAAGTGAACTAGTGTAGTTCAAGCTTTGATCACCACCTGGTGGCTATCACTAGTATGGCACCCTGCAGCAATCTTCAAAGAAGGGGCAGCTAGGTGGTGCAGCGGATACAGTACCAGGTCTGGAGTCAAAAAGGTCTAAGTTCAAATGTGACCTCAGACACATACTAACTGTATGATCCTGGGCAAGTCACCTAACCCCTATTTGCCTCAGTTCCTTATGTGTAAAATGGTGACACACTGGAGAAGGAAATAGTAAACTCCTCTAGTAACTTTGCCAACAAAATCTCATGGACAAGTCTATAAGGTCATGAAGAGTCAGACATGACTGAATGAATGAACAGCCAGCTTTCAAGTCACTCCTCTAATATAGCAATATTGTGTTTTTGGAACCCAAGAAATTTCGAATGTACACCAAGTATTACAACAAATTCGGGATTACCTTCCTCTCCCTCTCTCACTCCCCCTTCTCCTCCCGCACTCTGTCTTTCTGGGTTTTTTTTTTGTCTATCTCTTCTCTGTCTGTTTCTCCTCCCTCCCCCCTTCTCTCTCTCTCTGTCTCTCTCTCTCTCTGTCTCTGTCTCTCTCTCTCTCTCTCTCTCTCTCTCTCTCTGTCTCTCTCTCTCTCTGTCTCTGTCTCTGTCTCTCTCTCTCTCTCTCTCTCTCTCTCTCTCTCTCTCTCTTTTCTTTCTCCCTCTCCTTCCTATATCTCACAAACACATATGTGCCCTCAATCCATTTCTTCATCAAGCTTCCGGCTGGATGTCTCTACTTGGTATTCCATTGGCATCCTAAACTCAAAATATCTAAATTGGAACTGGAACTCTTTCCTTCTAAACCCATCTCTTATTCAAACTTTCCTACTTCTAGTGGGGTACTACTAACCTCCATTGTCAGGTCCTGTTGATTCTGCCTCCATAATATCTATCTCTTTTTTTTTTCTTCTTTTCTCCAACCATGAGCTCAACACTCTTATTCAAATTTACTCACATTCAACTCTTCATTTGGATTATTGTAATACACTTCTAATTGGCCTCCATGTTCTGAGTCTTTCCCTTCTTCAACTCATTCTCCCTATAACATCCAAAATAAATCCTCTTAAGGCTCAAGTCTGACCATTATTCCTCTAATCAAAAGCTTTCAGTGGCTCCCTATTGCCTCAAGGATAAAGCACAAACTCTTTGTGAAATATCAGATTTCCCACTATCTACCACCATCCTACCTTTTCAGCCCAATTTTGTTTTTTCTGTATTCCAGTCATATTGTACTAGTAGCTGATTTAGAACTCAATTCGATGCTATATTCACATGTGAAACACCCTTGGTTCCGGGAGACACCTAATGTTGCTTGCCCTAGAAAGGATTATTTCAGTTGCTGCAGAAGGCCATATCAATCCTAGCCACAAGGTGGCAATCAAAGCTTGAGCTATGTTCTCACAATTCAAACAATTTGCAAAAACCCACTCTGTCCAAGCCCTGCTCCCAGAATGTTTCATTTAAAGTCTAGGGGCATGCATTAATTCCATTAAAAAAAACAACTCAAAAGTTGCTTGCTCATCCATTTGAGTCAAGCATTTTCAGTAAGTCCTCAGCTGGCTTCACCTTGTGTCCATTGTGGTGACAATCAGCTTCAGCTCATGGATCCTGCCTATAAGAGAATTCAGTAGGTTGGCTTTGGAAGTGCCTTGAGGTGTCTACCAGGCAATTGGCTCCATGTCTCTTCCTGAAAAGAAGGAGATACACACACTCTTAATTCCTGTCCTCATATGCAGTACTTGAATACACATACTGATTCTACTTAGTTCCTATGACCTACTCATACACTCTGCCTCAGCTACAAATAGAGATCATACCCTTGATCTTGCAATCACCTGTAGATGTTTCACTTCCATGTTCATAAACTGTAATATAACTTTATCTGATCGTAATATTTTATCATTCCATCTTTATGCCTTACAACACATAACCCAACTCTGCATACTCATTATAATCTCCATTCTCTCTACTGGCCCCACTCTTAAATTCTTTCTTCAGCTATCGCTCCGGCACTGGTTACACTCTCTTCCCTTCCCTATCTTAACTCCTTGGGGAACCAGCTCAATTCACACTATCCTCAACTCTTAAATCCTGTGCCCCTTGTCTTATTGCTGACTGGCCAAATCCTAACCTTAGGTTATTCCTACAATCTTCCTCCTTCACTTCTATTATATGTTGCCCAATGGAGCTAGAAGAAATTCACAAAAATCACCAAAAAAAACACTACAAATTAAGTTCAACAAGCCAGTCCTTCTATACCTTCCTAATACATTTACTACCCCACTATCTACAATGGTTTTTCCAAACCTATTCATGACTCCTCAAGTCTCCTATGACACCTCTTCCCCTCATTGATCTCCACTGAGGTCCTCCCTTCATATCTTTCACAGAAAAGAATTGAGAGAGATCATTTCCTGTGAGCTCTGTCTTCTTCCTTCTTCCTCATCTCACTTACTGCACTGAGATATTTTACCCCACTATCTTTTCCTTTGTTGTTCATCCTTTGTTTTCAAAGAGGACCAATGGCATCATGGGATGATGGCTTGACATGCCCGTGAATTGGATTGAAGTGAGACAGAGTTACAGATGAAAAGGTGCCCTTTCTCCTTCATAAGGCCAGCCTCTATAGAGGGCGTTTGTTTCCCATCTCCTCCTGTTTGCTCTAGCAGGTTACCCCCACAATGTTCCTCTCTATCTCTGTCTCTCAACTTCTACCTCTCTTCATTTTTGTCTATCTCTATCTCAATCTGCTTTTCTTTCAGCTTTTCTCTGTCTATCTCTCTCTTCCACTCACTTTTTGCAGAGGCTTTTCCCCCAGCTCTTTGAATAGAGGCACTAGCCAAGCCCTGTGAAATAGAAGCATTGTGAATGTATGTGTAAGAGAGAGGGAGGGGGTGTATTTGATTACTGCATGTAGTAAGTGCTTAATACTGTTTTTTAAATTAAATTCCTCACATTTTCTTTACTTACATCTTTTTGGCCAATACTTGGAACTTGAATAGACCACTGGAAATCAGGTAATTACCACACTCTACATTTCTATTTCCATGTGCTACTTAACATTTTACAAAGCACTTTCTCATCCATTGTGTTCTTTGATCCTCACAATGAGCTGGTGGAGTTTTAAGGATGAGGAAACTGAGAAAGAGGAACAACTTTCGGCAATAAGGGGGTAACAGTCATGTCATATTTTACCCTAATGCATTGTGTTTGGATCTGGATGCCCCAGTTGAGCAAGGATACCGACAAGTTTGAAAGTGACCAGAGAGGTGGGCAACCAGAATGGTGAAGGATCTTGAATCTTTGTCAAATAAACCCTGATTGAAGAAAGTGGAGACATTTAGCTGGTGAAGAGAAATGGGGTTAATGGGGAGGAGTAAATGATACTTCTCCTTCAATATTTAGCGGGCTGTCCCATGGAAGAGTGATTAGATTGATTTTGGTGATTCCAGCAAACAAGACTAGAAACAATAGTCTGAGTTCAAAGCTGACCTCAGACACTCACCAGCTCTGTGACCTTGGACAAGTGACTTAATTTCTGTCTGCCTCAGTTTCCTCATCTACACCTATCACCCAGAGTTGTCATGAGTATCAAATAAGATAATATTTGTAAAGTGCTTTGCAAACCTTAAAGAGCTATATACGTGTTAGAATTACTTGGAACAGAATAATAATTAGGAATTATTTAAATTCTGAGATACTGTGCTTCTGGATAGTTTTGAGAAGTAGCAGAAACATCAGACTCAGGGGAAGAAGAGGAAGGGGGAAGGAGAAGATGCATTGTTCTCTGAGCATGTGATTTTTTTTTTAATCAAGGAACCTGGACACCATTGTCTCACTTCCAGGAGGTGAGAGCCTGAAGGGCTTTATCCTGGTGACTCTTTTGGTGGAGAAGGCAGCAGTGCCTGGGATTAAGGTACTTTCCCAACCATAACCTTATTCTATCTGTAGATGTCAGCCTGATAGCTTCTTTTAGTCCTAATCCCCTACATGTACAGTTTACCTTTCCAATATTTTCTGCCAGCTTCCAGCAGTTACTTTTAGCTACCCAGAGAACCAAGACCCAACTCCCTTGTGATTTTGCCTTCCATTGAAGTAAAGCACTTCAACTCAAGTAATGTCAGAGCTGGAAGGGACCTTAGAACACAGAATATTAGGGCTGGATGGGACCTTACAATGCAAGATGTTAGAAGAGAGAACACAGAATAGTAGAGCTGGAAGAGCTCTTTGAAATTAAATTAACCTTAATTTCACAAGAGAAGGAAACCTACAGAGTCTAGAGAACTCATAGTCCTAGCAGCATAGATCTAGAGCTCAAAGATGCTTCTAATTCCCTCATTTTACAAATGAGGAAACTGAGGCCTGGAGGGGTGAGATGCCTTGCAACAGGTCACTTAGTAAATGTCAGAGGTAGGATCACAGAATAAGTTAGTGGTATTTGGAACTAAACAATAGTTCAGGGGGAAACGTTTTGGGCTTCTTTGGAGGCTTTGATACTTAATATCTATTTGACTTTCAATAAATCACTTGGAATCTCTAAGCCTCAGTTTCTTGATCTACAAAATGGTGGGGTTGGATCAGTTTACCTGTAAGCTTTCTTCTATCTCTAAATGCATGCCCCATGAGCCTATGATTCTTTGTATCCAGTTACAAACCCACTGCCCCAATTCAAACTTAATTCATTTAATTCCATTTATGTTCAGCCAGGAGGGAGGCACATGAACACTTATCTTAATGCTACAAGGTGTCCTTACAAGACACAAGAAGCTAGTTTCATACTTGACTTTATTTTTATGAGTAATGATTTATCTCTTATTGGCCCTGCTGTATATTGCTTTCAATGACTAACTCTCTTTTGGGGAGTATGGTCCAGGGGTGTGCTGGAGCTAGCTTGAGCTGATTATTAAATGTTCAGTGTGAGCATTTGCATGTGAGAAAATACTACAAATCAAGGTGTGATTTATTGTTTTCTTGATTTTCTAGACTTAAGAAAGTGATAGTGAAAATGTTAATAATGAAGATCAAACTTAAAAATGTGTCATGGTTTTTCAGAGAGCTGATTGTTGAACTTTTGCCAGCACACCCTTGTGCATTAGCTATCCTGTCTCTTCATCTAGATTTTAGGCTCCTTGAGGGCAGAAACTATGTCTTATACTTTCTTGTATTCTCCATATGTGCTAGGATAATGCCTTCTATGTAGCAGGCACTCAAAAAGACTTTTGTCGACTGATAAGTAAAAATTGGATTTAGTTTAACTTGGAATAGGGATAGGGGGTAGTAAAATGAACACTAGGATTGACTTAAGATGATTTGAATGTAAGCTCTCTTTACTATTTCCGTGATTTGGAGTAATCATTCAATCTCTTGGTTGCTTTTATCAGTAAATTTAGGGTATTGATTAAATGAGCTCTAAGGTTCCTTCCAACTCTAAAATTGCTTCCCTTCTTCCTTCATTCCATGTTCTACATACAGTATTTCCCAGCTTCACTCTATTCCCTAAGCGTATTCTCTGCAGACACTAAACTCCCCTGGCCACTTTCCTCACAAACCCCCAGAGTACTTTGATGTAACATAATAACCACTCCTGTTTATATAGAACTTTAGGATAGACAGTGGCCCTGAGAGATAGGTAAAAACTTTTATGATTTTCACCACTTTACAGATGAGAAAACAGACTTAGAAATGTAAAGGTTTATCCTGCCATCTAGTGGTCAATGTGGGACCAGATTCTGGGTCTTCTGACAACTGAATGCTTGCTCTCCTAAATTTATTTCCAGTTTAGATTTAATGAAGCCTTGGCTGTTAGTGTTTTCTCCCAATATTATTTACTTTATTATTTTATTGATATGTACTTAAGTGTATTTCTGAGTGTGGTCTCCCCCATTAGGACATAAAACCCTTCAGGGTAGGGATTGTTTCACTTAACTCTTTCTATCTCCAGCATCTAATCCAGAACCTGCCTATAGCAGGGGCTTAATAGGTATTTGTCTATTGAATAACTTGACCATTCAGACTACTCAAGTTCTACTTGGCTAGGGACACAACTCTTTGTGATAACAATCACCATACATGTACTTATCGTGAAGTATTTTATAGTATTTGGTTAGATGGCATAGCCAGCTACTAGATTGAGAGCTTCATGAAGCTGGCATTTTGTTCAATCTTTGTATCCTCCCAGAGCCTAACACAGGGGTCTGAACCTAGTCTGAACCTATTTAATAGATGTTTGTTAAGGGTGAATGAGAGTGGAGTAGAGCCAAGTGGGCAGACAGTAGGAAGCAATATAGCTGAGCTCCAACCACAGAACTCCTCTAAACAGGTCTAGAAAATGCCTTGGCCAGAATCAGCAAATCCTTTGTTTGGCCCAGGTCAGCATAGAGAGATAGAAAGGAAGGTCTGCAAATACTGTGGACTGGATTGGGGCAAGAACACACTATATGTGAGCACCCCAGTGCTCAGTGAAAGGCTGTCCACCAAGGCAAGAGGAGGTTCCAAACCCATACTGGAGCACTGCCAGAACCATACTGGGGCACTGTGTTATGGACAAGTAGCAACTGGCAGCTTTGTCACTCTTTACTTAGTTCTGGATCACAGATCTACAGGAAACTGAGAGGGAGATCTGCACACAGGGGTGACTTTCCCCAGTAGGGAAGCTCTACACAGTATACAGAAAAAGGAGGACATTCAGAAGCCAGAAGCTTGGTTCAGCTGACAGGAGCAGAACAGGGTCTCAGTTCTAGCATCTAGCCAGACCTGCAGCAGAGGAATCACAGGGCAGGAATTTCAAACTGAAGTGGGGTCTACAGTTTTGTCACTGTGAACCAGCTGGCTAACTGGCTGAAAGGAGCTGAATCGAGTGGAGTTTACTCTTGCTTAGAACCCAACCATGGTCAGGAACTTGCAGAGTCCAGACCAGAGGGGCAGTGATCAGACTTTGCCCTCAATCAGACTACTTTGACAGCATTGAAAGCTTGCAGGTCCCCAGCCTATATAAGAATAACCTACCACTCAATATCCCAAGAAAGCAATGAGTTACTGTGTTGACAGGGATGTTCAACATACAAATATAGAAGAAAATGACTCCCAAGCATCCATAAGCAAAGCCTCAAAGAAAAACACAGCTTGGCTACAAATTCAACTACAAGTCTTGGAAGAGAATTCTTGGAACTATCTCTGGAAGCAAGGGTTAATTTTTTTTTTTAATGAATGAAAAATATGGAAGAAAAAATTGGAAAGGGAATCAGCAGCTTGGCATAATAAGTACAAAAATTTGCTTAAGCAACAAACTCCCTGAAAATTAGAATATAACACATAGAAGCCAATAATTCCACGAGACAACAAGAAATATTAAAACAAAGTCAAAAGACTAGAAAAATAGAAGAAAACATAAACTATCTCATAAAAACAAATGATCTGGAAAACAAATTGAGGGGAGAAAACTTAATCATTGAAGTATCTGAACGCCATGGCAAAAAAAAAAATAGCTTAAACCTTATATGTCAAGAAATCTTAAAAGAAAACTGCTCACATCTCTTCAAACCAGAGGTTAAAGTGGAAATAGAGAGAGGATACACCAATCTCCTTTTGTCCTTCGTATTTGAAGAAGACCATGACATCAGGGAGTTGATGTCATGACTTGCAATTGACTTTGGTTTGAGCGAAGGAGGGCTGTGCAAGGCCACCAGCCTCACTTTCTTCTCCAGAGCCATCTGGGTCTAGTTGTGACTAGAGATGGCCCCAGATGCAGTGGGAGACGTTGGCCTTTTTAAGCTAAGGTCTTGAGAGACATATTAACTCTCAGCAAAAACAGAACAAAACAACCCCCCCCCAAAACAAAACAAAACAAAACAAAACTACAAGATATATGAAAATGTTTATAGCTCTTTTGAGGTAGCAAAGAATGAGAATCTGAAGGAGTGCTTATCAATTAGGGAATAGAAGGACAAGTTATAGTATATAAATGTGATCAAATACTATTATGATGTAAGAAATGATGAAGGGATAGCTTCAGAGAAAACTTGGAAGATTTATATGAACTGATTCAGAGTGAAGTGAACAAAACCAGGACAACAATTTATGCAATGACAACAATTTGGTAAAGGCAAATGACTTTGAAAGAACCTAGGAAGTCTTATCAGTATGATGACCAAACAGCATTCCAGAGGACTAGTGATAAAACATATTGATAGAGGCAGAGTTAGAGTGCTGAATGAGACAAATATGCATATTTAAACAGACATATACACACATATACATGCACATATCTATGTATGTACCTATACATATGACATAGGACATGGCCAATGTGGACATTTATTTTGATAGACTATATCTTTTTGTAACAGAATTTCTTTTTCTTTAGTTCTGAAGCTGGGGGGATCGAATGAGATTTCAGGTAGGAGGGTAAGAAAGCAGAGTTTTGCTGATTTAAAAAAAATACACAATTTTTAAAAAGTTGAATGACAGTGACAGGTTGTAGCCCTAATCCAATTCAACAAGTATATACTGAGTACCTGCTTTGCACCATGACCAACTCTGTCATGTATATAAAGTTTAAGACAAGGTCTCTGGTCTCAGGAAGCTTACCAGAAAGACAAGGATGCTGAAATGGGTATCATGAGACTGAGTTCTGACCCTCATGCATTAACAGTTCATCTTTGGGCAAATTGAGGAAACTTTATCTGCCACTCATGATAATCAACTGCTCTGTACTTTCTAATCTTAGAGATTTACCTAAGGCATTTAAAAGTTAAGTGACTGGACCAGAGTCACACAGCCAATAATACTGATATGCAGGAAGTAAGGCTGAAACCTAGGTCATCCTTTCTCTGAGGCCAGCTCTCTAGCTATCATGATATGCTACTTCTTTGGACTGGATATTAGCCTAAAAGTCATTGAAAATGCCATTATATGGAGGAGTGATTAGATTTATGCTGCCTGGCACCAGAGGATTGGGAGAGGGACAATGAGAGAAAGTTTCAGAGAGACAAATTTTCTCTTTATACAAGGAAATGATGCCCTAACAATCAGAGCTATCCCAATAGTAGAATAGGTTCAGGAGATTCTTTTTCCCTGGAGGTCCTTAAACCAAGGCTGGATGGTCACTTATTGGTGACATTGTAAAGGGAGAAATATTCAGGTATAGATTAAGCTAGATGAACTCAGAGGCTCCATTCAGATCTGATTCCCTGATCCTAGACAGTGTTTGTAAGGACTTTGTAATAAGTGTGAGTGACATCCCTCCTCCCTTCCAAAACACCCTGAAATAGTTAAAGAATAAAACAAAGCACATGAAAGGGAAGGATAACAGTCAGTGGCATATTAGAAAACCTCTGGATTTGAAAGTAAAAGAATCAGCATCTGAAGCATGTATTCCCTGTGCAACCCTGAATAAATCATGACCCGTCTCTGAGCCTAAGTTTTCTTATCAGTAAAACAAGAGAGGTTGGATTAAATAGATATTCCCAAGGGCTCCTTTGAGCTATGATGTTGGAAAATGACTGAGTGTCAGAATTAATGGTATTTAAATATCTTATGGCTTTTATATAGGTCACTCATTTATTTCTTCCCATATCAGACTTGTACAAATCCAAAGTTCTGCTTATAATTCCATTCCAATTAGTTTTTTTTTTTACCCTGACTGAAGCCTCCCTAGCAAGAAGTTGGCATTGAAAACAGAATTAGGTCATTCTATACTGACTTACTTTCCCCCTTTTATAAGAATTTGGATCTATAACTATGTCTACTTTCCCTTGTCCTTGTCAGGGCAGCTGCAGACCTTAGGGCACCTTAGGACTCTACCCTGTGCCCAGCAAATTCAAATATATATACACATATACATATATACAAATAACATACACGTATGTATACGTGCAAATGTATAGATGTACATACACAAGTATATGTATGGACATACACAGACACATATATAAACGTGCTACATATATAGATGCATATATACTACACATAGCATACATTTGTATACGTATGCCTACATGTGCACTATGTACATATAAATGATTGACAATCACCTGTAAACACTTAATGTAATTTTCCTCTTCCTACAAGTCCCATATTCTCCATAAGGTACTCCGTTACAATCAGAATATTGTCTTACGGTTTAGACTGCCTTGGAAAGGAAAATAAAACTGGATTATAAAGAAGAGATTCTAACCCTCCTTCCCACCCTGGCCAACTTTTCATTGAATTTCACTATTATCCAAGGGGACTCAGAGACTCTCAGCTTTATGCTACTGTTCTAAGGTGGTGGGTCTGGAAGGGAAATGAGCTTTGGACTGCTGGAGAGGCAATCCCTTTCCCATTTATACTTATACTGTCCTAATAAAGCATGGGAATAATAAAGAGGAAAGGCCAAGAACAGGATCAGAGTTCTAGAGTGGGAAGAGGCCATTTGTTTCAACCCCCTTATTTTACAGCTGAGGAAACAGAAGCATAAGAGCATAGAAGCCTAAGAAATTTGCAAGATGTCATACAGGTAGCAATTATCAGAGGTAGGATTTGAACTCAGGTCCTCTCACTCCAGAGCCAGTATTCTGTATGCCATCCTGCCTTACTTCCTTCTTTTATGCCCCTACTTTGTGCATCAATTCCTTGTTGCTCTTTTTGGGATGAAGCCACATGCAAGATCCTCTTATTCCCAAGAAGCTGATGCTGCTCAAGAATTACAAAATCTATAAAGCAGTTTTGGCAAGACAGTATGCTAAGCACTGGGTAAATGCAGAGTGGCCCCCTCTTGTAGGAGACGGCACTATAGTTAGCATAGGCACCTTGCGTTCTATTTAAAATGGTGGGGGCATGCTGCAATTGCAAGTTTCTCATTTATGTATCCTCAGAGGAGGGCCCTGATGCACCAGAAGATGGTGCTATGGAGCACAGAGTACTTAACTACAAAGTTCATAATGGCAGGTTTAAGCTTTTATACTAGACAGGGTTTCTGGTAGAGGACACAGCTGCCAATATTGACAGAGAAGAGCTAAGAAAGGGGAACCTCACATCCAAGAGATTGGCAATTCCTGAACTCCAGCCTTTTGGCTGAAGGAGAAAGAGTTTCCTGGAGGGTGTCGGATCTCTGGAGAGTTTGGACCCAGCCTTCTAAAAAGTGAAGAGATAATGCCGCCCCCAGTGCCAAATTTTTAGAGAGAAGATGCTCATGTACATCTTTCCCACCTCCCCACGTTGACTTCCTGCAATTATGCAACTAGGAAGTGCTAGATCTGAGAGTGGAATTTAGGCCTTCTGATTCAAATTCATGCTGCCTCTCAAAAACACCCTCAACATAAATGGGCTACCAGTGGGCTTGCAGGGATGCCTTGATGCAGATACAGGGTGAATCTCACTACCTAAGCAGGATACAAGGCAGAGAATCAGACAGAAGGGATTCTATGGGGGCTCCTAGCAACTTTACCCCAAACCCTCAAGATGTGTCCTTTACCACCATCTGCCCCTCAGGCACTGGCTCAGGCCATAAATGCAGTCCTCCAGCCTAGTGATGATGATCTACTCCAAGCCTTGAAGCAGCTGAAGACGTCCATTGCTGAGATGACCAAAGCCTTGAGACAGATGCATGGTATGTGCATGCTCCATTTTGAGATCACTCAAGATCCCAGATTTTGTCCAGTAAAAACGATTACTTAAAAAAAATATTAAGGATAGATAATGGAGTCAGGCCTCAGCAAAATAATGAGGCAAGTGAAATGTGGCCTTGGCTTATGAGTATTTCCCTCCCCCCATCCTCATATTGAATGTGTCTCTCCTGGGTCCTGTTTCCAAAAACCTTATTTATATCATACAAACAACCACTATTTCTATAGCATTTCAAGGTATAGAAACATTTTCCTTACAAAAATCACATCACATGGGATTAAAGATAAGGAAACTGAGTCTCAGAGAAGTTAAACAACTAGCCAAGTGTCAATGACAGGATTTGAACCCAGGTCTCCTGACCTCAGTACCCATTATATTCATACCATACTACCCAATATCCATTGGTTGTTATAACCATAATTCTCCCCAAAGGAGTAAGATGAGAATGGAGAGGGAGGTATCATTCTTCCCATGGGATATTTACATTTTAATAGGAGACATTTAAACCTCGAAGATATTCTGTATTGGAGAAAAGTATGATACTAATAGTATGATTCCAAGCATCCTGATAGGCACTGAGCTTGGATGCAATACTCTCTCTCAAGTCATTTTAGGGAGCTGCCTATTCTGTTTACTAATACAGTTCGTTTTGGAAAAGAGGAGAACCTTGGAAATACACCTGATATCTACTGTAACAAAGACATGTATTGAAGGTGGGAATGGAGAAAGGATTAGATCTTAGAAAAGGGAAAAGATTGTTTTTTCCTCAAAGGAAGTTTTCCAAAACAATGCTTCTCCTAGGGGCTAAGAGCGTCTGGAAAAAGAGATTGTGTGAAGGAAGAAGGATGGATGGAGCATTTTCCAAAGTCATGCCCCTCTTTTCATCTTGCATTTCTGTCCCAATGCTAGGAAATGGATGTTTTACCTTGAATAATTAACCAATGAAGAACAGAGAGAACCTCTGTGTTATTTAATCCATTTTGCAATCCTTATTTCACTTTGCTTCTCCCAATAAGTCTTTCGTTTTGTGACACTTTTTGACATCAATAACAATTCACCTTTGGTTTTGTATCTCTAGAGCCTAGCACAATGCCCAGTATATAGGAAGTGCTTAATAAATGTTTGCCAATTGATTCACATTCCTATAGCACTTTAAGATTTATATAAGTGATTTGCTCTCTATAACCTTCTGGGATAGGAAGTATACATTTTCTTATCTGCATTTCATATGAGAGCAATGGGGTTCAGAAGGAAGCTAAATGTCTTGCCCGAGGCCATATGGAAGAAAATAGGTGTCCTGACTCAAAATCTAGGGCTCTTTCCACTCATATATGACATACTACATTGAGTGCACATGTGGCTGATAAATATTATTGCCCAAAGATGCTCATGCCTTGAGTGATTGGCTTTGCTCAGAGTTCCCTCCCTTCAGCATTACAAATTCCAAAATGACACAGGTTCCTTTTATTTCAGCAGGAACAATTAGTTCTTCCTTGTTGGTCAGAATTAAGTCAAATAGCATTATTTTATCTACTGCCTGAACCATGAAGTTGTCAAGAATTTTTCAGAGGTTCTGCTTTTACTATTAAAGTACCTGCTTTTAGTAGAATGATACTCCTATCTCCTAGCACAGTTACTTGCACATAGTAGGTATTTTAAAATATCCCTTGAACTGAATTAAATTTGTTGCTTAATTTGATGTTGGCGTTAATGCTGTTTAATTAAAATTAAATTTAGACATTAAAAATGCCGAAATGTTTGATATGTCCCTTAGAACAAGTACATTTTACCTTCTTGTCAGCTTTATGGTCTCTTTTAGGGAAGCATCATCCATAACCTCCATCTGACTGAGCTATCTGTGATAGAATTCTCATTGTTTTATCACTTTTGCTTCTGTCTTCTTTTATCCTCATCATTCAATTGTGCTGGGCTCAGGACTGTAGATTTCCAGATGGGCATACATCTAACTGTGATAACTCTTACTTTTTCTATTAGCTCTGTTTCTTTCAAACATTATATACTCCTCTCCACTGCCTTGCTTCAGTCATGTATCCTACCATACTGAGTCAGTTACATCTATGAGATGGCATTTGCCACCTTATATTAATATTTCAAGGTAACATTACTTGTTACCTAAATTCTATGCCTCAGACTGTTTCTGAACTCTTAAGTTATCTACACCTGCAAATTATTGGCTACTTCTTTCACCATGATACAGCTTGCTAGCTGTATTACATGTATTGGTCTCTGTATCATCAGGTTTCAGTGTTTTCTGGGTTTTTTTCTCTTAATTTCAAACTTCAATGTAAATCCTTCCTGATGAGTTTGCTAAATTTCCTGCTAAACATTTTCTTCATAGTAATAGTAATGACAACATTACTTATCAGGAACTTATCTCTGGAGGTAAGTTGGGAGTACATTCCAAGCAAAAGCATGAATGGGAGATGGAGTTTCATGCATGAAAAGGAGCAATAAGACCATTTTGGTGAAAGTGTAAAATGTGGTATTTCCAACAATAAGTTTGAAAAAGGGAAGTTGAGGCCAGGCTGTGAAGGACTTTAAAAGCTAAACAAACTGAATTGCTTATATTTTCTCCTACAGGCAACAGGGAACCACTGTAGTTTTTTTGTTTGTTTTGTTTTGTTTTGTTTTATTAGGAAAATGAGTAGAGATCTAGTCCAATGCCCTGATTTATGATTTAGGAAACTGAGTCCAGGTTGCAATCTTCATCAAAGGAGGTCATTCCTGAATGAATGAGATCATAGATCCATTTGAGTATCCTTATTTATCAAATGAAGAAAGTGAGGTTCAGGCAAGTTAAGTGATCAAACAGCTAGTGTCTGAGACAGAAACGGAACCCAGGTCTTTCTGACTCTAAATCCAGAATGCTATCCAATTCATTATGGCGCCTCACAGAGGAAATCTAACCTAGAATACTTCTCCAATGATTTTAAAGGTGTGGGTAAAAAATTGAGAGATCTAGGATCCCAGTGACATTTGAATTTCTTTCTAGCTGAAATTTTTGATTTGAAGAAAGAAGGATATGGGAAATGATATCCAGGGCCCACATTCTTCATAGCCAACAAGAGAAAAAAATCCTGGTAGCACAAATGTTTGGCCTTAGATCATGCCCAACATGGAGCTCAAAGGAGCTCTAGTGTAATGGAAAGAGGATTGGATTTGCAGTCTGAAGTTGGGGTTCTTGGGGCCTCAGTTTCCTACATGGCAAAATCAGGGAATTGGACCAGAGCTCTAGTCACCCCCCTACTGGAGAAGTTGTGACTTTCCCCATTGTCACACAGCTAACAAATGGCAGAGGGAGGAGTCAAACTCAGATCTTCTGACTCCAAGTTCATGGCTTTGTCCACCATGGCTTACAAATAATAAAAGTATGTATATAACTCTTCAAGGTTTTCCAAACACTTTGCAAGTATTATTTCACTTAATCCTCACAATAGTCCTGCGAGGTAGATCCTATTATTATCCTTATTTTATAGTTGAAGAAACTGAGGATGAGAAATCTCTGTACCTGCCCTGGGTCACACAGCTAATAAGTATCTGAGACTGGATTTGAACTCAGGTCTTTCCGACTCTAAACCAAACACTCTATTCATTATGCCACAAATAGGGTAACACAGTGGATCATCGCTAAATACTATTTTGGCCAAAAACTATTACACAGGAAGCACACTGAAACCACACATTTGAGGATGGTTTATTTTTTTGCATCCCATATATTCTTACCAGGGGGCAGCTAGGTGGAGCAGTGGATAGAGCACTGGCCCTGAAGTCAAGAGGACCTGAGTTCAAATCCAGCCTAAGACCAAACACTTGACACTTACTAGCTGTGTGACCCTGGGCAAGTCACTTAACCCCAACTGCCTAAAAAAAAAAACACATAATCTTACCAGTGCTTCAGAGGATCTACCTAATTTGTCTGTTTGACTTACTCTGTGGGGCTGTATTTTAATTAAGAATGCCACTGATTTGTCAAAGAAACAAATGTTGCACTCCTCTATAACTTTTGAGAGGAAGTCTTGTGGCTCAGTGGATAGAGTACTGGGCCTGAAGTCAGGAAGAGTTCAAATTCTGCCTCAGACACTTACTAGCCATGTGGCCTTGGGTAAGTCACTTAACCTTATTTGCTTCAGTTTCCTTATCTATAAAATGAGCTGGAGAAGGAAATGGCAAACCACTCCAGTATCTTTGCCAAGAAAATGTCAGAAGGGGTCATGAAGAGTCAGACATGGATGGAAAATGATTGAACAACAACAAAATGCCCTTCCTCTTTGCCCAAGCTTTCCCTGTGCTCTAGATTTCTTTCAGATTAATTTTGTTTCCTTCTCCAAATTGAACCAATCAGCCACCATTCTCCCTATTAATCGCTACTTTGCACAAAGCAAGTTGTAATCCTTTCCCATGTCTTCACTGGTCTAGTGCAGGGGTGGGGAACCGGTGGCCTCGAGGCGACATATGGCCCTCTAGGTCCTCAAGTGCGGCCCTTTGACTGAATCCAAACTTCATAGAACACTATACGTGTGACTACATGTTTGGTCAGTCTCTTAAGGTCTCTGAGCAGAGTGTAGTGTTGAACCTGGAGATAAAAGAGATCTGAGTTTGAATTCCTCTTTTAACACTAGCTGTGTGACCTTTGACAAGTCTCTCAACAACTCTGAGCCTCATTCTCCTCATAGGTAACACAAGGATAATAATAAGTGCAGTACAAGTTAGCGGGGCTGCTTAGAGGAACACATGAAAGAATGTATGAAAAGCAATTTGCAAACCTGAAAATGCTGTGCAAATGTCAGTTATTATTATTATTCACTTATAAAATGGTGATAATATTATTTGCAAAGGGCAAATATGAAGAATGGGCTCCCCTTAGGAAGAACAGGCTTTATGAACTATAAGGTGCTAAATAAATACAGACCATTATCGCTTTCTTTAAAACATCGCTAGGCAGAAACCCTAGTTCTTGGCATTACCTGATTCTCGTAATCTTCTTTAAATGTATCAAGTTAAGCATATGTAGATCTGTTTAACGTCACAGAAAATTTGGTAATTATTCTTTGCTCCAAACAAGTCATTCATTTTTACACTGACGTAAAAAAAATCCTACCTTCTATTCACTTTAGCTGTTCACGGGGAGGGAAAGTCAGGATACTTGATTGTTCTACAGTCACACTCCATGGAAAGGGCAAATTATATGGCATTAGGTGATGAGTGCTATAGGAGACTGGAGAAGAGACATGAAGAATGAAGACAGGGGAAGGAAACAGGATGTTGGCTGAACTTGAAGGAGGAGTCAGCTTTGAATAAGCACAGAAGGAAGAAAAGAGCTTTCTAGGTGAGGCAAAAAATATGAGCAATGCCACAGAGGTAGAATTGGCCATCGTGGTTGTGTGTGAGTGTGAGTGTGTGTGTGTGTGTGTGTGTGTGTGTGTGTGTGTGCCCACACCTGTGTTTGAGAGACAGAACGACAGACAGACAAGCCTCTTGAGAGAAGAAGGCTCACGACAGGAAGCAGTGGGCAATAAGGGTGGCTAGGAAATATGAGATTATAAAAGGGGAGATTTATAAATATGGGCTAAATATGAAATGTGAGATTATAAAAGAGGAGATTATAAGAGACCTGGAAATCAGGCAAAAGAGTTCAGGTTTGATGTAATATGAAGAAGGCTAGAAACGAATGCAAAGAGAGAGAACTGAGCCTTTGTTTTCTCATCCGAAAAATGAGGAGGTTGAACTGCATGGCCTCTGAGGTCCTGTTCAGCAAGGTGCCTATGATTCTGTGACTTAGCGAGTTTCTGAGCTGAGCAGTGATGCTATGAGACTGCAGCTTAAGGAAAATTAGGCTGGCAGTACAACATAGGACATTTTGGATCAAGCAGAGATTAGAATCATGGAGGGCAGTTGTGGCCACAATGTTAGCCATTTAGATAGGCAGCTAGGTGGCCCAGTGAATAGAGTACTAGGTCTGGAGTCAAAAAGACATGAGGTCAAATCTAACCTGAGATGCTTCCTAGCTGGGTGATCCTGGGCAAGTCACTTAACCTCTTTCCCCCTCAATTTCCTCAAATGTAAAATGAGCTTAGCAATAACACCTACCTCCTAGAATTGTTGTGAAGATATAATGAGAAAGTGTTTATAAAATGCTTAGCACAGTATCTGCACTATATAAGAGCTAGCTATTATTATCTTTATTATGAGATGATAGGGATCTCAGAAATGAGCCAAGTCCACCTACCCCACCCCAACCCCTCATTTTATAGATGAGACCCAGACATCTAGAGTCTTGTCCAAAGTCATGAAGACAGTAATGGGTAGAGCTAGCCCTTGCACCCAGGTCCTCCTAACGCCAAATCTAGTATTCTTTGTACTATATTACATTGTCCATGGGTGTCCATATAGTGGTGATGCTGGAAATTTCAAAGGGATGAGTGAGAGAGCCAGTCTGAATGAGAATTAGTAACTCCTAGATGTAAGGTAAGTGGGAGAGGGAGAATCAGGAGTCAAGGAGAACTCAATCATATTGACTTGTAAAAGGCAGGAGATCGCACGATCATAGCATACGAGGCTAGAGCTCAGGGGGCAGGAAGATTTGGGTGCCGTCAGCCTGGGAGAAGAACATCTCCCTCCAAAACTTTGTCCATTCATGGTAATAATAAAGATTGTAGAGCTTTCCAGACCATGAATATCATGAACTGTAAGATTATGCCCTGAAAACACTGAAGGTTGGGGTGGGCTTGTGGGTGTAGAGTTTGGCCCAAAGCAGGTATTGTCTGAATTTTGCTTTGATTAAAGGAAACTCCCTGCTACAAAGCAAATATTTAAGCAATAATAATTTTTACAAAGCAAATTTCCTCAGGCTTTCCAGACATCAAATAATTCTTGCAACATAACATTTTGATGAGCTGAGTGTAAATTAATAAAAAACAGATGGATTAAATTTCTCTAGAAATCTACACTGGTTTAAAATTTGATGGGAAATCTGCTTAGCCTTGTGTTCTGAGCTTTCTTGCATCCCCAAAACATTGTTTGAAGACATGGAGTTGGACCCCAGCTGTTCCTGGGCTCTCCTGTCCCCATAGATTCCTTACTCTCTGGGGCCACTTCCCCATTCTAGTATGCAGAGATGAGGAGGATTAAACTAATCCTGCTCTTGGACGTTGTCCCTTGCGCAGGCTAATCTACCTGGCTTGTAGCAAAGCTTCCTCCTTTCCCCCACCCTTAGCTCTCAAGCTCTCTCTCAGTAGATCCAAGATTGAGCATCAGTTCAAAATATGTTTTCTTTCTTCACCAAGAGGGTGGGTTTTCCAAAGAGGCAGCAAAAACATCCTCTACAGGGTCTGATTTGAGGAACGCAAAATGGTCTTTTCTTCTGACCTCCAATATTCCTAAAATATCTTCCTCACCAACTTGACTGAAATTTCCTGTTGTCAGATTTAGTTTAAGGCAATAAGGGATACGCAGATTTCAAATCACAAAAAAATGAGTGCAGTCTAAAGCATTCTGAGTTTGTTGCTTTAAGAGGTAGTAAGTTCCCCGTCACTGGAGGTTTTTGTTGCTGTTGTGGACGGAATCTCTGTTCAGCTACTTGCTGGATTAGATGCTTTATGAGCTCTCTTGTAATTTGGCCATTTTGTGATTTTTGTATCTGTTAACAGTGTGACTACATTCTCTCCAGGGGATAACTGATTAAGCCGTTGTTGGCCATTAACACTGTACTTCAAATTAGTCTAATAATGATAACAGCTAGAATAGTAGTTAGCATTTATACAACACTTTGAAGTTTGCATAGTGTTTTGCATATGTTTTATTATTTGATCCTCATAACAGCCCTAGGAAGTAGGGGCTATCATTATCCTTATTTTGCAGATGAAACAAAATGTAGCAGATTAGGCTCTCATTGCCCAGGATGGGGCATGGGTATCTAAGAGAATGGGACACCGAGATGGTAAAGTTCAGGGGTGCAAGCCAGCAGAGAAAGACCTAGAACTGGTTCTTACCAGGGAGTACAAGGCCAGGGTGGGACACAATTCTGGGGCTCCTGGAGTCCTGAGACCTGGATTCAAATCTCAGTTCTAATGCTAATTAGCTAGGTTATTCTGGGCAATTTATTTTGCCTCTGAGCCTCAGTTTTTTCATCTGTAGAATGATATTTGATAATACTTGTACTTCCCACCTCATAGGATTGTTGTAAGGAAAGCTTTCCATAAACTTGCAAGTATTATTTTTAAAAAATAGTCATTATTATTGTTGTTGCTCTGTGCCCTGGACAATCCCACCTGAATTGTGGGATTCCCTGAAGGGATAAGAAGGATAGAGGAATAAGGAGGGTGATGAGGTGGAACTAGAAAGAACAAAATTTTCCTTTACAGTTTTGACTAGGCCCTGTCCTCTTCACCCATACTTGGTCTATTGAATTGAATGAAGTCTTTGGAGTTTAGCACAACAAATAGCAAGCACAACTTCACACGGTAGAAAATCATTTTATAGAACCCCCAAGAGTTGGTACTTCCTGGAAACAGAAAAGGATTCAAAAAAAGCTTTGAACAAATTTATGAATGATTGAGTCATAAATGGAGATGGGCCATATCATTGTCTCTTAAGGTTGACATCTGAGAGAACAATCAGGCCCTCCCAAAGTAATGCTCCTTTTGGACTTCTTTTGGTAAGAGAATATTCAGTAACAATTTAAAAGTTCTTAACCTTAAGGTCCACTAACCTCCTAGGGGTGTATGGATAGATTTCAAGGTGCTTACTAATTTGGATATGGGAAAAAAAAAATATATATATATATATAAGTCTTTTCACTAGCCTTTGATTTCCTTTATAATTCTATATATTTTCTTTTACACAATTAAAAACCTTGTTCTGAGAAGGGGCTTCACTACACTGTCAAAGGGGTTCATGACCCAATAAAGAACCCTTGAGTTAGATGGACCATGAATTATGGTGGGCATTCCCGTGTTGTTATGTGAGCTGGGAAGTCTCAGCTCTCATGCCTTCTGTTCCCTAGAGATAATACCTCTAGAATTTGAGGGCTGTCATATGAAAAAAAGGATTGACTTGAACTAAGCCCCTGAGGTCAGGAACTAGATGCCATGAGCAAAGAGTTACAAAGAGATGTTAGGTCAAAGAAAAAACAAAACTCCTAAAATTTCATTTGTACCTAAGTGAAATGTACTGCCTTGGAAGGTAGTGAGTTCCCTGACATTGGACATCTTCAAGCAGAGTCTAGATGATCCCATGTTGGGCATATTATTGGAAAGAGAAATGATTTGGGTGGGGCTTGGATGAGTTGGCATCTGAGATCCTGTCCAAATCTGGGGTTAATTCTACGATACCAAGATTCAGGCCATTGCTAACTTTGGGCTCCCTATCCTAAGAACTTATGATGATAGCATCAATTTTTAACCAAAAGTGGCTTTAACAGTGAGATAATTGTTTGATTTTTTTAGGTGAAGAAAACTTAAGAACCAGGGAAATTAAGTGACTTTCTCAAATATTTGAAGCCAGGTCCTACAAAGCCAGCATTCTTTATACGGCACCATATGGGGACCCCCTTCCTTTAAAATCTAGTCTTTCCTCTGCACCCGCTGCCAGCCTATCCTCACAAACACGGTATCCTAGAGCAAAATTCGGCAGAAGAGGGCCTTGATCTTTTGGGAATTTTCTTTTCAATTAATTTTTTTAGCTGGGAAGCACAACAAATAGAACAGAGTAGCATATGGAATAGTTTAAGATTTCTGCAAACACCACGGAGGGCAACTGCGGGAGAGAACATTCCAACCCCCTCTGGGCCACTTTAATTTCAGGTCATTGTACAGATCAGATGGAGGAAGTGCCCAAGAGAGCATAGAGCTGCTGCACATGTAACCAATTGCTTTCTTTTTCTTCTCCTTCTTCTTCTTCTTCTTCTCTCTGTTTCTTTTTTTGGCCTGTAGAAAAGTTCACATTTTGATTGTTCTCTTAGATTACGTAGATCCAGCTATATTTTATGCAGCCATCCGGATCTTTCTGTCTGGGTAAGTACAGCTCAATTGCTTTCCTTCTGTGAGGCTTTATGAACCGTTTCATAATTGGTGTGGGGAAGAGAGGGGTATTGCAATGTACCTGTTTGGGTCCAAGTCAAGGTTGAAGGATCAGGGTGAGAAGTGACATTTGATTTTCTTTTGCCTGTAGTTCCAGGCCTGTGTAACCACTGGGATTTCTGAGAAATGGGTGGCTCTTTCTGGGTCTTCATGACAGACCTCTGCATGAGTTCTAAACTATTTCTGAGTCCTGTAAAAGTGAGGGCAAGAAGCTCACACTCTCATTCCATTTTTTCCTACCTTTTCCCTTTCCCCAATATCTTACTCCCCCAAGGGGGCACGTAAGAGGAGTATGTAACAGCTTACTAGTGGGATTTAAGGATCCCAGATGAGGTCTCATCCCAGCATGTTTCTGCTACTCACTCTGAAATCTAACAAGTATAAACTTCCCTTAAAATACAGATAATCCTAAGTCATCCACAACAAAGTATGATTTAATTTAAGCACATAACTCATCTAACAATCAGCTCTAACGTTTGTCTAAGAGTTCTCACATTGAGGGACTGGGTTTTTTGAGGGTAAATGGCAGAAAGCAGAGAGAGATTATTTTGACACTGTGAGGACAGGGCAACCCTGGATTGTATGTGGTATTTGGCAAACTCTGGGTAGCAGCCCTCGGAGAGAAGGAAAAAGGTAATGGGAGAGAAGTTTGGGAATAGTGGCAGGAGAAGACTAAAAAAAATATATTTCCTTCAAAAGTTGGTCCCATTGCCTCTCCCCCAAACTGAGACAAGCTTTTTGGGGGGCTCCGTTGTTCTGTCTACATGCCTTATGTGGAAAAAGGCCCAAGAAAAAGCCTGACTCCAGACTCCAATTATTAATCTATCTCCAAGTTCTTCACTCTTTAGTCCACCTTCCACATGGCTGCTAAATTAATATTCCTAATGTGGACACCATATCACTCTCCTATTCAAGAAGCTTCAGTGGCTCCCTATTACTTCTGGTTTGAAATACAGAATCTTCATTTTCATATTTAATGACCTGCAAAATCTATCTTCAACCTAGCTTTCCAGACTTATTACCAAGAGTAAAGAGTGTGTGACCCTGGACAAGAGGCTGAATTTCTTAGCGCCTCAGGCAACTTTCTGAAGACTATAAATTACCGAGGAAGTCCCTGACTAAGTCCTGTCTACACTGGTGAAATCACAGGCCCCCTTAAAAAAAAGAGAAAGAAAGAAAAAATAAATACATGAGCCTTATGTTCAGTTGTGGGAACACCAAGATGAAGGATGAGATAGTTCTTGTCCCCTAGAGGGGCAAACATTTGCTGATTGAGCTAAACAAGTACTTGTTTACTTTAATTCAACAATCATTTATTTAATAAAGGGCCTACATCATGCAAGATCTTGAGCTGAGTGTGAGAGATTAAAGGATAATGCATGGGATTCACTTCTTACAGAGGAACTGGAGGGCAGATAAGGTATATCCATAAACAGCTATGATACAATGGCTGGTTTGAGAATTACAAAGAAGAGAGTCAAATGAAGAGCTAGGAGATTCCATATGTGAGAGGGGAGAAGGATCAGTTTTGGCTGGGAGATGAGGGAAAAGTCAGGGAAGGCTTTGAGAAAGTGCTAACATTTGATGAGGGCCTAAAGGAAAGGATGGACTTCAGCAGGTAGAGACAGGGGCAGGGGAGTCCATTGCACATATTCCATCCATCTATCAATCAACAAATATTTATTAATTGACAGTTGGTGGAGTAGTGGATAGAGCACTGGGTTGGGAACCAGGAAGACAACCTCCTGAGTTCAAGTCTGGCCTTAGACACTTACTAGCTGTGTGACCCTGGGCAAGTCACTTAATCCTGTTTGCCTCAGTTTCTTCATTTGTAAAATGAGTTGGAGAAGGATAGGGCAAACCACTCCAGTATCTTTGCCAAGAAAACTTCAAATGGGGTCACGGAGAGTCAGACACGACTGAAACAACTGAACAACAACAACGCTATATACCAGCCATTGTACTGGGCTCTGGGGATAAAAATACAAAAACCAAAACAATACCTAATGTTAAGGAACTAAATTGGAAATGGAAACAATAAGTGTATCACACAAATATATGAGTATATATGTACAAATATATACACATATGTATATATTCTATATAAGCATGATAGCAAGTATATATATATATATATATAATTATATATATATATAATTATTTCTCTTTTGTATTTAATAACTAATTATTAAGTTATGACTGAGGTTTTTCCTCTTTTCTACTTACCCATCCAGAAATCAAACAGTGCGGGAAATCTGGAACAAAGAAGACAGCAAAAGAAATTCCAAGTTTAGGTGAATGGGTAGATTCCTGCTCATTGTGTTTACTCAGATGGGTCTGGGGAAAATGTGGATTCTCCCTTTTGTCAGACAGGTGATATGGAAATGATATGTCTCTTTGATCAGGACTTGAGTGATCCAAGCCAGGTACCCCCAAGATCCTCATTAGAAGGAGCCCACATTTCATTATAATATTCATTTTTCTCATTGACTATTCACCAATCAGAGTTGATTGCCCACCTCAGGAACACCTACTCTTCCAAGGGCATATAAGTTAAGAGCTAACCACCATGAGAGGTCTTTGGCATTTGAGAGTGCCATTGACCTCTTTTATTAATAAAATGCTAGCATTATTAATAAAATGATGGATTACCGAGAAACTGTCTCTCAAATTTTTTAAGTGTCATAATAACATATTTATTCACACATACACACATAACATATGTATAAAGTGAATCAATACAAATACATACAAAGTAGTTAGATATGAGACAGTTGGGAAGGAGAGTACTGCCAGTTGAGGATTAGGAAAGACTTCACACAAAGAAGACTTTAAAGGAGATTAAAAATCCCTCCTGGAAGCCAATAGGTGTAGTTGTTGTTTTCTAATGAAAATATCAACCTCTCCCATGCTTTTGTTTTTACCACTATTTCTCCCACCTGATACTGTTGAATTGTTTCAGTCATGTCCAACTCTTCAAGAACCCATTTGGGGTTTTCTTGAGAAAGATACTGGAATGCTTTGCCATTTCCTTCATTTTACAGATGAGGAAACTGAGGCAAACAGGGTTAAGTGACTTGCCCAGGGTCACATAGCTAGGAAGTGTCTGCAGCCAAATTTGAATCTTCCCAGTGATTCCAAGCCCAGTATCCACTATCTATCCACTGTACCACCCACTTGCCACTTAGTATAGCCTAACAAAATCAGAAATAGATATTTTTTTAAACAAGATTGATGGTTAGTCAAATTATTCTCTATATTCTTCATTTCTACATAATGTAAACTTTTTTTTTAACCACATAGTTTGGGTTCCTACCTCCTCCATGAAGCCTTTCCTAGTTGTCTCTTCCCCAATTTTGTCCTCAAATTTTCTTAAAGGACTTTGAATCTCTTCCTTGTTGAAGTCACATTCTACACTCTATCATACTTATCTATGTGCATGTCATAGCCCTACTATAGAATGTAAAGCACTGGAAAGTAGAAACTATGTCATTTTTTTCATCTTTTTAAGCCCAGGGTGAATGCATTACACTTCACACAGTTAGTGCCCAATGAGTGTTCTTTGAATTGGATTGAAAACAATAGATGGCAGCTAATAGAGACATTTTAACAATATTAAAAATCAGGAATATCTTTACTTTCAATCACAAAATTTCTCCTTGCTTTTCTATTCCTGACCTTATCTATAGTTGGGATTCTTTTAAGATTTTATTTTTAAAGGTTGAGAGATTCTGTTACAAGATGAAGCTCCTCCCCTCCAGTTCCCATTCATATTAACTGTCTTGGGGAGGTCATTGACCCTAGTGAAAAAACATGGCATTTTAATCTTTAATCTCTTCATTTATCCACTTCTTAAGATTGCTATAAATAGGTTCCAAGGACGGCTAAAAATAATTGTTTGATAAACCAACTATTTCCCTCTCAGATCTCCCAAAAACAGCTGCTTAGGCTTTAGAGGAATCCAAACATTTTTTGCTGTTCTTGAGTTTCTCCTTTTCTAGAATTATCTCATCATAGCAGGAGAAACAGTGTTTGGAACAAGATACTCTCCTTTAGCTTCTCAAGTCTCTAATTTAGGTTCCATTCTAGGAAAATAAATGCTGGTTCAATCAGTGTGTCATCCACAGGCATGCGTAGAGGGTGCCCGGTGTGCCGACCTGCTACACATTATACCACCATGCCCAGGACATCTTTTTTATGCCTAAGGGGTGATCTTGGTGTGGCTTAACCTCTCTAGGTCTCAGTTTCATTATCTGTAAAGCAGATAGTTGGATTTGATGACTTCTGAAGACTTCTTCCAACTCCAAGGACACGATCCTATGAATTGAGTTCAAGTTCCATCTTCTTTAGGAGGTCTTTCCCAGCACTTAACCCACCCTTCCCCAGCCCCTGAGATTACTTTTCATTTATATTTTATTGATTTTGTCCATAAATTTATTTGCATATTATCTCCGCTATTGAAATATTTAAATGTGAGCTCCTTGAGGGCAGGAACCATGTCTTTAATAATAATAATGGCTAGTATTTATATAGTGCTTTAAGGTTTGCAAAACACTTTACAATTATTACTTCTTTCTATCCCCACCTACCTGGGAGATAGGTATTATTATTGTATCCATTTTACAGATGAGGAAACTGAGGCAGACAGCGGTTAGATAATTATCTAACTAGAGGCTAGTAAGTATCTGAGACTGAATTTGAACTCAAGTTTTCCTGATTCCAGGCCCAGTACTCTATCTACTGTACCACCTAGCCTTTCTTTGTACCCCAAGGATTAGCACAGTGCCTGGCATATAGTAGGTGCTTAATAAAGACTTGTTGATTGACTGACATGTCTTTCAAAATACTTTTATGGTGAGAGTAGTTCATATCTCTATCCTTTCAAAGTTTACAAAATGTTTTCCACACAATAGCCCTGAGATAATGGAATAAGACTTATTATCATATTACAAATGAAGAAACTGAGGCTCAGAGAACTAGGAGGTATAAGAGGCAGGTCTTGTACCTGGCCTTTTGGCTCTGCTATACCACTTAACAATCTAGTTCTCATTTCTTCTAGTCTTGGTCATTTCTTTCAAAAAATGAAGAATATCTTCACAGTGCTAGGCATATTGGTACCCAATGATTGCTTACTGACTTGAATAGCATGGGGATTCCTTTTACACGTGACTTGTACTAGCTGGCCACCAACTTCCCTTCCAACCCTTAAATTCTGTTATTTTTCTTTTTATTCTTTTTTCTTTCTTTTTTGATCTGTGCTAGTCTTTGAACCCAAGTCCTTTATGTCCAAATCCACACTCATCATTATATTATTAGATAAGCTCATTGTCAGAGGAATGTATTTTCATTTGAAGTTGATGGAAAATTGACATCATGGGATGTCAAGACAGAAAGCACCTTAGCCATCAATTAGGTCAATCCTTTCATTTTATAGAGGAGGTAACTGAATCCTAGGGAAAGAAAGTGACTTATCTAAAGTCATACAAGGTAGTGAAGAGCAGAGCCAGGAATGGAAACTAGCTTCATTGACTCCATGATGTGTGAACACTTCTGGAAAGAATAGCTACTCTGGAGATTGTAGGGGTCACCTGCAGTCACCTGCAGGTCAAACCTGCAGTTTGCCACTTCCCAATTCTCTCACTCTTGTTTATATGGAACATATCACACTCTTTACTCAATGATTCCTTCCTGCTTATTGGATAAAATAGAAACTCATCCTGCCATTAAAATCCTTCACAGCTTGGCTACCACTTACCCTTGCAGTCTTATATCATAATATCTTCCTTCTTTATGTCTTCTCTGTGCCTTTCTAATCCAGTCAAACTGACTGGCCTGCCCACTGTTCTGTACTGGACATTTCCCCTCAGAGAGATAACTCTGAGCCTTTTCATAGGTAGGCAGTCCCTCCTCCTATCTGGAATGTACCTCCTTATCCTCTAGTTTTCTTCCAAGCACAGCTCAGGTACAATCTTCGACATGAGGACTTTCTGGATCCTTCTAGTTGTTAATGTTCTCTCTCTCCCTTTCTCTCTCTCTCTCTCTCTCTCTCTCTCTCTCTCTCTCTCTCTCTCTCTCTCTCTCTCTGTCTCTCTCTCTCTCTTTCTCTCTCCCTCTCTCTCCTTTCCCCCTGCCTCTTCTCCTCTTCCTTTCTTTCCCCCTCTTCCTCTTTCCTTCTTTCTCTCTCTCTCCCCCTCTTCCCTTTCTCCCTTTCCTCCCTTTCCTTCCTTCCTTTGCTCCTCCTCCTCATTCTTCTCCTCCTCCTCCTCTTTTTCCTTCTCCTTCTTCTTTTCCTTCTCCTTCTCCTTCTTCTTCTTCTTCTTCTTCTTCTTCTTCTTCTTCTTTCTTCTTCTTCTTCTTCTTCTTCTTTTCTCCTCTTCCTCCTCCTCCTCCTCCTCCTTCTCTCTCCCTGAATTATTTTGTGTTGCTCTCTAGGTATTCTACACATGATATTCCAAAAGTGTTAGCATACTTTTAAGCTCTCAGAGCTTAAAAGATGTTCTGTACATCCTTAACTGCATGCATGTTGGAACCACCTCATTAGTCATTAAGCTCCTTGAGGATAAAGGCTTTCTTATTTCTGTCTTAATAGTCCCTACACATGGCACAATGCCTTGCACATTTTACTTTTGGGACCTATGGTTTTATCTATGTTAAAAACACCTAGAGTAGAAACTTCCTTGGCCTTACTGATGAAGATTGGGATTTTGTCTGTGATTTATACTCTAAAAGAGTTGACTGAGGCACTAAGGGCTTACCTAATTTGCTCCTGGTCACACACACAGTATATGTCATGCAGGACCCAAATCTGCATCTTCCTTTTATGAAGACTAGCTCTCTACATTCTATAATTCACTGCCTCTTACTCTGCATATGCTAGGCACTTGCTACATGTTGGTACAATCCAATTGTATAGAATTCATGGGGAAAAAAACTGTCTTATTTTCTTTTTCAGCTGGAAGGATAACCCAGCAATTCCAGAAGGGCTGATATATGAAGGAGTCTCAGAAGAGCCTTTGAAATATTCTGGAGGAAGTGCAGCTCAGAGCACAGTATTTCATGCATTTGATGAGTTATTAGGTGTTTGTCATAGCAAGGAAAGCAGTAAGTCCAATGCTCTTTATTTGATTTAAAAAAATTTTTTTTAAATTTCAGTGGGCACTTCTGCCAAAGATTTCTTAACACATTAGCCAATACTTTAAGGAGCCAGATTCCATGATTGTGGGAAGTATATGTAGCCAGTGAAGATCACAAACCCAGTGCTGAGTACAGTGCCTGGAACATAATAGATGCTTACTAAATAATTTTTGACTGGAGAACTAATGAGCCAATGCCACGGTAAATAATCCACCTGAGAGGATGAGTCAAAATATCATGTTTAGCTCACCTAGCTAGGCCCATCTCTAGATAGCCTTCTCACATTCTCTATCTATGATCTCATTCAGGCTTTTTAGCTTGGCACAACCTTCCAGAGCTTCAGCTTTACTGGCATAGTTTTTGAGAATCCAGGGTCACTGCCATGCCATGAGGAGGCTTTGGAAAGAGGACTGACGTAGTTTCCAGTTCATAAAATGTCACAAAATCCACACTCTCTTGAATCAGCTGGGAAGGCAAGGCCCTCCAGAAGATCTTTGCACCAAGCCAAGATCTACTCTGATCTTGGCAGACCTCTGGCTCCTATTACAAGGAAACCCCAAGGCAATAGCCTGTTTTCCGCTGCTCACTGTGACTCAGGTTGAAGTTCCTAAGTAGCTGTTTCCTCATTCTAAATTAGGGAGGAACTGGTGTGACAGGGAGGCTCCAAAAACCAGTAATCTTGGTTCACATTAAGAGTATCTACAGTAATGGAGATAAAAGTTTTGCTTGCCTCTGCCCTAGTCAGATCCTATCTGGAATGTTGTGTTCAGATCTGGGAGCCACATTTTAGGAAGAATTTTGACAAACTGGAATGTATCCAGAGAACGGCCACCAGGAAACTGGGAAAACATGCCATATCAGGGTCTGTTGAAGGAAGACCTGAGTAATACATTTATGTGGAGGAGATGTAAGGCAGTGAGGTGGTACAGTGGATAAAGTGTTGGACTTGGATTCAGTAAGACCTGAGTTCAAATTCTGCCTCAGAGATTTAATAGCTATATAGTATTGGGAAAGTCACTTAATCTCTGTTTGCCTTATCTATAGGATGAGAATAATAGTAGTACTTGTCTTGTAGGGTTATTGGGGCAGCTAGGTGGTGCAGTGAATAGGGCCCTGGAGTGAGGAAGACCTCACTCACACCTCAAACCCAGCCACAGACACTTCCTAGCTGTGTGACCTGGGCAAGTCACTTAACCCTGTTTGCCTCAGTTTCCTCATTTGTAAAATGAAGGAAATGGCAAATGGCTCCAGTATCTTTGCAAAGAATACCCCTATATGTGGTCACGAAGAGTGGGACGTGACTGAAACAACTGAATGACAACAACATGGGGTTATTACAAAGGTCAAGTGAGCTAACATTTGTAAAGCACTATATAAATGCTAGCTATTATTTGGGGACATATAATAGCTGTTGTATGGAAGAGGGATAGACTTGCTGTTTGACCTGTTGGAATAAGGAGTGAAGGGGGGAAGTTTCAAAAGGGCAGATTTCAACTAGTTGTAAGGAAAACTTTCTAACAGTTCAAGCTGTCCAAAAGTGGAATGGGTGACTGCCTTGAGAAATAGTGGTTTTCCCATCAATGGAGTTCTGCAAGCACAGGCTGAATGATTACTTGGGGACATTAGAGAGACCATTTCTGTTCTGGGATGGGTTAGACTAGATGGCCCCTGAGTTCCCTTCCAAGACAGGGATTCTGCAATTTCTTTACTGGTTTGAGAGAAAATGCTTATTCTCTTCCCCCGACTTGGGACACTGAAAAGTAAAGGCTGTTTTGGACCAAGAGATAATGATCCAGGATTGAAGCCAGAACCACAGAGTTCAGCCCCAGCCCTGAACTCTGCTCCTTCCTAACCATGAGAAAAAGCCTTTAGTCTTCCTCTGTGGGATTGAGCCTGGCTCCTTGGAGTGTCTTAGCCCTGATCCACACTAGTCCTACTAATACATATGCATATGATGTGTTCAGAAGAGATCTGCAAGAAATATCTTTGAGTAGCACCACATTGTATTGGATTTTTAGTTTTTCTTTGGGATAGCATATTATAGAGTGGGCAGGAACTCAGAAATCACCTATTCCAAACCCTTTCTGAATCATAAAACCCCATGTGACATCCCTAATAAATGGTCACCTAGTCTCTACTTTTTAATTTTATTTTAATTTTCAGTTCCACGTTATTTTTCCCCCTCTATCTCTTCCCCTAACCACTGAGGATGCAAGAAGTCTGATACTCATTATATGGGTATATGTCATGCAAAATGTATTTCCACATTAGCCATCTTCAGAAAAAAATAAAGGAAAAATGTTTTAATCTGTATTCTGAGTTCATCAGTTCTGTATCTGGAGGTAAATAGCAGTTTATAGCATGAATCCTTTAGAGCTGTGGTAGATCATTGTATCAGATATACTAAGTGTTTCACAGTGGATTTTCCTTATATGTTGCTTGCTACTATGTACATTGCTCTCTTCATTGTGCTCACTTCATTTTGCATCAGTTCATGCAGTTCTTCCCAGTTTTTTTGGAAACCATCCCCTTCATCATTTCTTATAGCACAACAGTAGTCTGTCATATTCATATACTATAACTTGTTCAGCTATTCCCCAATAGATGAGCATCCCCTCAGTTTCAAATTCTTTGCCACTACAAAAAGAGCTGCAAAAAATATTTTGGTACATGCGGATCCTTTCTCTTTTTTTGATCTCCTTGAGCTATAGATCTAGAAGCAGTATTGCTGGGTCAAAGGGCATGCACAGTTTTATAGCCCTTCGAGCATAGTTCCAGATTATTCTCCAGAATGGTTATACCAGTTCACAGTTCTACCAATAGTGCATTAGTGTAACTTTTATCACACGTCTTCCAGCATCTGTCATTTTCTTTTTCTATCATCTTAGCCACTCTGACAGATGTGAGGTGGTGTCTCTGGGTTGTTTGAATTTTGCATTTTTCTAATTATTAGTGATTTAGAACATTTTTTTCATAGGATTATTGATGGCTTTGATGTTTTCCTCTGAAAGCCACCAGTTTATATCATTTGACCATTTATCAATTGGGGAATGACTCCTGTTCATATAATTTTGGTACAGTTCTCTACACACTTGAAAAATGAGAGCTTTATTAGAGAAACTTACTGTAAAAATTTCCCCCTAGTTTCCCTTTTTTGTTGAGTCATTTTAGTCATGTCCAACTCTTTATGACCATATCTGGGTCATAAAAGATGCTGGAGTGGTTTTCCATTTCCTTCTCCAACTAATTTTACATATGAAGAACTGAGGCAAGCAGGGTTAAGTGACTTGCCCAGGTTCACACAGTTAGCAAGTTTCTGAGGGCTGATTTGAACTCACGAAGATGAGTCTTTTTGACTTTGGGCCTGGCACTCTATCCATTGTGTTACCTAGCTGCCCCCAGCAGGCACTTAATAAATGATTATTGACTGACTGACTGACACCAGGCACTAGAGATACAAGTACAAAGAATATAGCAATCCCTACCTGCAAGATGCTTGCATTCCAAGGCTCTCGAAGAGCCCCTTCAAGTTATCTTGTCCATCCCCTTCATTTTTACAGATGAGGAAGCTAAAGCTTAGAAAGATAAAGTCACACAGGATCACATAGTCTGCAAGTTGCAGAATTAGGACTTGAATTCAGCTCCAAAACCATTATTCTTTATAATGCATATCACTGGCTATGAGATATTACCATCACTTGCAATGCAAGAAAGAAAGGGACCAGTTATAACCCTGGCAAACCTTGCCTGAAAGGTCACCGATACTTCATCAAAAGGGAAAAAAAAAGAGAGAGAGAGATAGGATAGTCAGAACACTTGAACACAATTTCTAGCTCTATCCCTGACCAACTGAATGAACAAGGATGTCACTCTGACCTCTGTATCAGGGATGCTTAACATTTTTCTGTGTGATGGACCTCTTTGGGAGTCTACAGTAAAGTCTATGGATCCCTACTCAGAATGATGTTTTTAAATTCATAAAATAAGATACATAGGATTACAAAAGAAAGCAATTATATTGAAAATATAGAAAATATGAAAATATAAAAAATGTTAAAATAAAAGCAAGTTCACAGACACCTGGTTAAGAACCACTACTAGATTGGTGTTTCTTAATATCTTACAACATATTATTACCAGGAAGGATTCTTAAAATCCTTGATAAAAACAAATGCCATCACTTTCCTCTACAGGAAAGGTTTCCCTCCAGCCCAGTTTGCAGATTTTATGACCACACTAAGATCTACTAAAGCCCAAAGCTGAAATATTACTTGGCTTAAAGACTGAGAGGAAGGTAGAAGGCATGAAGAGTGAGACCAGATAGTAAGGGACCCAGCATGATGTCTTTGACTGACAGCTGATTTCAGAGTTAGAAGACCTGGGTTCAAAGCCTGCTCTATTGGTTACTCCTTCTGGGCATGTATTGGCATATACTTGTTAATTGATTGGTTGAAGTCACTTAATGTCTAGGGCTCTGATTTCTCATATGTGCATTGAAGGTATGGTGGGGGAATGGTGAATTGTTCACTTAGGCTGTAGTGTAGAGTTTGGGGTGGGGAGGGAAGACTAAGGTGGGGAAATTGAAATTAAGGCTGGAAAGGCACAGTAGCATCAGGTTGCAGAGAGACTTGAATGCTAGACTGGGGAGGTAGAACTCTTTGTAGGCAATAGGGAGCTATGGAAGATTTGGAGCAGAGAAGAGACATGATCACTTCTGTTCATAAGGATTTTAACTTGGTGCTTTTCACAGATGGTCAGAGCATCCGCACAGCTCCTCTGTCTCTCTAGTTTCTATGTTGTTAGGTAGATGGTTGAGGATCAGGCCTGAGATACCAAACTGAATCCATTGTCCCTCCATACATCAAAGAATTCCAGCAGAGTAGATCAGATGAGTATGAATCAGATGAACCATTGCATTTATATATGTAAATGTGTATGATATATGCATGTATATAAGGATTACAAATTGCGTTCCTTATAACCACACTATGAAGTAGATGAAGGAAGTATCACCATCCCTATTTTATGATGAAAAGACTAACAGTGAGAAGTTAAGTGACTTTTCCAAGGTCACAGGGCTAGCAGACGACAGAGCCAAGACTAGAAGCCAGTTTGTGTAACTCCAAGTCCAGTGCTCTTTCTACCATGCCATCTGAGAGGCGTTATGGGACGATGGAAAGAACCATGGATTTGGAATCAAAAGACCTGGATTCAAATCCTGGTCCTGCCACTTATTACCTTTGTGACAGTGGACAAATCATTTTACAAGTCTCTGGACTTCACTTTCCTCACCTGTCAAATGAGAAGCTTAGACTTGACGGCTTCTTGGGTCATTTTTTGCTCTAAATCTGTGACCAATCAATCTGCAAGCATTTATTAAGCAGTTATTGCATACCCAGCACTGTCGTAGGCACTAGGTATACAAAGGTAAACATTAAATAGTTCCTACCCTCAAGGAACTTGTATTCTTTCAGGGGAGATGATAGTATGTAAATAATATATAAAAGGTATTGGGAGGCAGAACTGTGATGTCTGGAAGGAGTTAAGTCTTTCTTCTCTTTTGACTTGGCTCATGTGATGTTCTTCTGGTCTCTTTCAGCTACCTTCTTGCACAGAATGCGGGAATACATGCCTCCTTCCCACAGGGCCTTCATAGAGGAAGTCCACTCTGCCCCTTCCCTGAGGGAGTACATCTTGTCATCTGGGAGCTGCCTCTTGTGTGAAGCCTATAACCAGTGTGTGGCCACCCTGGCAGAGCTGAGGAGCTATCACATCAGCATCGTGGCCAAGTACATCCTCACAGGGGCAGCCAAAGCCAAAGACGGGGGCCTGGGCCACCTTCCAGGACCACCTCAGGCACTGGCAGAGAGGGGGACAGGAGGAACAACTGTCTTCTGTTTTCTGAGAAGTGTCAGGGACACGACCCTGGGAAGAATCATTGACCCAAGTGATTGAATTCATCCCAACTTCTGGTAGTCCAAAAGACAGGCAGAGGGAGGATCTTCCCTTCCCTTTTCCATTTCTGGTCTAGCCCCTAAACTTGTCTTATTCCCCTCTCCTCAAGTGGTTTGTCAGGAATCTGGTGGGACCCTGTATTCTGGGCTCCATGGAACATCCTGTTCTCCTTTGTGAAGAGCTGGTCTTCATCAGAGAGAAGGATTAGCATTGCCCTTTGCCCAAGACGCTGGGTAGTGCTTAATTAATAGCATATGATTTTGGACACATCCCCATTTATAAGCATATAATGGACAATGCCTACTTTGTGCTGCCTGCAAGGCAAATCTGCCCTCAGTCTAGAACTCCAAAACCAAATAAAATATTGTGGGATTGCCACATTGACTATTTCTTTACAAGAACAATCCAAAATTCATTCAACAAACGATCAATGCCACTACAGCAGTCATTTTAAAATCCTAAAATACAAGCTCCAAGCTGGTTCATTTTTGTCTTTGTTTTCCCAATATCAATCACAGGGCCTCTCACAAAGTAACTGCTTAATAAAAGATTGCTGAAGTTTGAATTATTTCAACTTTGTCTATTTCCCAGTGGCTGGCATAGTGTTCTTCACACAACAGGTGCTCAATGAAAATTCTTGAATGAATGAATGAATGAATGCTATGCATAATGCGTTATGTCAGTCACTGGAGAGATGAGAAGCTCTCAAGATTCAATCCCTAACCTCATAGAGCTTACAGTCTAGTGGAGAAATAAAGAGAACAGCTCACACATGTATGTATGTATGTATGTGTGTGTATGTAGTGTTTGCAAGTTTGGATATACATAATTAAATTGGAAATTTATGTATATCCCATTTGGGCTTCATAACAATCATAGAAGGGTAGGTAGCACGTATAATATTATTCCCATTTTATAGATGAAGAAACTAAGGCTCAAAGAGACCTACATCTTGCCCACAGTTAATGTTAGTGTCACAGTTAGTGAGTAGTGTTTGAGCCCAAGTCACTCCTGACTCCAAATTCAGTGCTGTATATGTTATGCCATGCTGACATATACATAAATCACCATAGTAAAAACTGTGTCAAATTAGACTCCCACCAAGAGGGAGGATTGTAGTTTAATTATTATTATTATTATTATATGTGCTATAACTACCCATTATCTAATTTTATTTTCTCAACAACACTGTGCTTGAGGAGGTGCAGGAAACACTTGTCTTCCAGCAGCTAGAAACAGTAGTTGAGTACCTAGGTTGCAAGCATAATTAGAGAAAATAGTCAGCTACCAGATAGTAGACTGGTGTGAGCTCCTAACTTGCTCCACCTCTTTTGGTGGCCTCCCCAATAAAAGACTTGTGCCAATTTCCTGGTGATTTTTGTCACCTCATCAGAGGATGGTAGAGTGGCTTTCTCTCTCCTATCCTCACTCCTTTTTACTGGGAGTGCACTTAGTATGCCCGACCCAAGCACATTTGGTGGTGTTTTCCATGGGAGTTAAAGATTCTAGTTATAGCTCGGTTGATAATTCAGCTATTATTATCACCCTGTTATAGACAGGGAACCTGGCTTGCCTGAAATCATGCCACTATGACACAGCTGGAATTGGATATCGTCTTCTCACTCTAAATTTCTTTCCACTATTTCTTGGTTATCTCAAGAATTCATTAGGAGGAAGGGTCACTTTAAGCTAGGTGCAGGGTGGGGAACCTGGGAAGACTTCATGGGCAAGGTAGTATTTGATAAAATGGCTAGTGAAGAGGTAGAATATTAAGGAAACTCTGGAGTACTCCAGGTTGTGCAATGAAAATAAAACCAGAAATAGAGATGGAGAAGGGCACAAAATGATAGCTGCAGGAATTCAAACATCACCCAACAGGGCCTAGGCAACAGAGAGACATTGATGGTCTTTGACCAGGGACATGGCAAGATCTGAGTTGTGCCTTAGGAAGGCTATCTGTCAACTTTATGTAGGATGGATTAGAGGGACAAGAGACTAGAATCAGACCAATTAAGAGGCTGTTTCAATAATTGTTTAGTTGGATAGCAGAGGGTGAGGCAGAGAACAATGTACAATAAGCCTGGAAAGGTAGGTTGAGCTAGGTTGTGAAGGACTTTTAATACTAAACAAAGGAGGCTATATTTTACTCCAGAGTCAACAGGAAGGCATTGTGGTTTACTGAGAAGGAGAGTAATATGTTAAAATCTGTGCTTAAGGAAAGTCGCTTTGGAAGCAGTGGGAAGGATGGACTGAAGTAGGGAGAGACTTGAGGCAGGGTGACCAATCAGGAGGTTCTGGCAATAATCCAGGTGAGAGGGGATTAGAGCCTGAACTAAGGAGAAAGTTGTGTGAGTATTCGAATGGATCAAATATGAGAGGTGTAGAAGTAAAAACAGATCTGACCATTGCCTGGCTCCTATGGGATAATGGAGAGTGAAGAGTTGAGGAAAATGTCAATATTATCAATTTGGGAGATAGGAGGTAAATTTAGAAAAAGAATGGGCTTGAGGGAAAAAATAAATTCTGTTCTGAACATGTTGCATTTGAGATGTCTCTGGGACATCCTACTTGAATTGTTTAATAGGCTATTGGTAATGGACTGAAACTCAGGAAAGATGTTGGAATTAGGTATGGGTATGTGGATGAATGAAGCATCTGCACAGAAGTTATCATTAAACTCTTGGTTGTTGAAGAAGCCCCAGGAGAGAGACTATATGGAGAAAAAAGTAGAGGACCTATGACAGAGCCTTGAGCAATATTTAGGGGAAATGATCTGAATGAGAAAAGGAGACTGAGGAGAGGTTAAGTAGATAACAGGAGAACCAGGAGAGAATAGTGTCATGAAAGCCCAGAGATGAGAGGGTATTCAGGAGGAGGACTGGGGGAAAAAAGACCATCTGATTTGACCATTAAAACATCAGTGATAACTTTGGGGAGAATAGTTTAGTTTCACCCAAGTGATGTGATAAGAAAGCAGACTGCAAAGGATTGAAGAGTATATGAAAAAAGAGGAAGAGAGGGAGTGTAGACAGCAGTTTCTAGAATTTTGTATTTGAGGAGAGATATAGGATTATAGCTTGAGGGTCTAAGGATGCGAGAAGCTTAGTCATATTTGAAGGTTACAGGGGAGAAACTTGTATAAGACTTGTACTACTTATCTCAAGGGTGGCTATGAATCTGTGAGACTTGAAGTACTATAGGAATATGAGTTATTACTTTTACCACTCTCTTGAGCTATTATTTTACATGGTTGTGTGCTATTTATTTGTGTTTTTGAGAATACCTTTCACAGAGATGGTGGATTCAGGAGGGTAAGTCAGTGGCTAAGAGGGAGTTACAATAAGGTGACTGAGATTTTAGGAGAGTGGTCAAAATTTCTTTTAGGGACATGAAATGGTCTGTTGGTTTAGGATTTTTTTGTGAGAAAATTGTGACAGTTTATAGTACTCTCTTAATAGGTACCTCATAACTTGTTTTATCATTCTTTCTCTAAAAGTTTAGTATTTAAAAAATAAACAACTAGCTGAAAAGAATTAGGTATGTGGAATGGAAAAACTAAGACAGCCTGCCCAATTTAAGCCTATGGACACTACTGAGACCCTAGGAACTATGAGACATGTATCATGAATGGATGAATGAATAAAGCATTTATTAATTTTAGTAGTATTGTTTATTATATATTTATTAGTACTTAATTTTGTGTGAAGTGCTATTTTAAGTGATGGAAATATAAATAGAAAAGTAAGAGAGTCCCTGTTCTCACAGAACTCACATTCTAATGGGGGAGAAAATCCTAGGTAAGGTTTCAGCTGCAAGTCACATGGAAAAGTCCCATGGTCCTTAGGGTACAGCACTAAAGCTGTTGTTGATGCTTCTACTTTGATATAATGATATCGGTTTCTGATGCTGAAACTATTTGATGGTTCTTGTGGCAAGAACTTTTCTTTTTTGGGTCTGTATCTGTGGTATCAGCAGGAGCAGGTGCTGGGCAGGTTCTCCACTGGGGTTGCTTCCCAAGAAGATGGCCATGGGCACTGCGCTGGAAACATTGCTATTCCCAAGGCTCTTAGGTTCCAAGTACTGAGGGGAAATGGTGGGCAAGGTAGTGATGGTTTGATTTGCCTGGCATGTGTTGACTTCTGTCTCTTCCTCAGGGTGCCTTGCTGCTTCAGCTAGGCTGACCTGCCTACCCTGAGTGCGAGTTGGTTCTGGTCCAGGTTCTGGCGTGTACAAGACCATCTAGGCCTCAATCCTCTATGAAAAGGAGACTTGGACTGGATGGTCTCTTCCTGTATTCTCTGTTCTAAGGTCTCTTCTAACTCTGATTCAATTCAACTGAATTCTACAAATATTTAAAAAATATCTGACATGTGCTTAACACTACTTTGCCATTGAGGATACAATGCCAAAAAACAAACAAATCCATCTTTGCCCTGGAGCTTATCTTATGTGGCTCTTTGCCTTATGTTCTTCCAGCATGGATGTTTATGTTCTAGAGTCCTTTTTTGTGCTAACATTCTATGCTCCATGTTCTAAGGTCCCCTTTTGTGCTGACATTCTATGTTCCATGTTCTAAGGCCCCTTTTTATGCCAGCATTCTATGCTCCATATTCTAAGGTCCACTTTTGTGCCAACATTCTATGCTCCAGGTTCTAAGGTCCCTTTTTGTGCCAACATTCTATGCACCATATTCTAAGGTCCCTTTCTGTGCTCACATTCTGTGCTCTATGTTCTAAGGTCCCTTTCTCTGCTCACTTTCTGTGCTCTATGTTCTAAGATCCCTTTTTGTGCCAACATTCTATGCTCCATGTTCTAAGGTCCCTTTTTATGCCAACATTCTATGCGCCATATTCTAAGGTCCCCTTTTGTGCCAACATTCTATGCTCCGTATTCTAAGGTCCCTTCAAGCTCAGATCTTCTTGAGTCTAAGGTTCTGGACATTCTGATTTCTGGGTACTAAGGACCCTCCTAGCTCAGACATTCTGTGCTCTTTATTCTCGGGCCTGTCCCCGTTCTAAAGTTCTGAGATTCTTAGAATCTACTTTCTGGTTCCCACAAACTGAATGTTCTTCTTTGAGGCATTTCCGCCACTGAATGTTATCTTCCACTTTCTTTTGCACAGATGTCCTATTGACATTACTGTCAGAAAAAGTCTATTGTTTCAATTCTATGTTCGTTTAACAGTAAAGTTAATAAAGAAGTCCTATGTCATTGCTTTCTGAACTGCAGCTGGTAGTGAATGCCTGCAATTTAGCATCTGCTTCTCTGTAACATTAACAAACTTAGTCCTTGGATATAAACACCATCAAAAATGAAAATGATATTTTCTGGCTAAGCAATTCCAAGTGAATGCACAAATCCATGTGTTGACACACTCGCAAAACAAGAGTGCAGGCCCCAGGCTATGGCTGATCTTATTTGTGAAGAATTGCCCATGCATAGACTGATGATTCTTATGAAGGTAGTCTCATTCGAAGTTTTTCATTCCTTAGTAAGTTAGACACAAATCTACTTCTCCCTGCTGGGGGAGGGATGAAGCTCAGATGGATAGAAACCTTAGGCTTC